TACAATTGGTGAGTAACATAGGTGTTTACTTAATAGTTAATATCTGAATGATCGAAGCAACAGTTTTTTAATGTATATTTTCTCTGAGACAGTGTCGACAAGTGTTCAGCAACGTTCAATATATGTGTTAGACAAAACTTGGTCTCGCGCACTTATGTTTATAATATATACATTTCCATTGACTAACCGTTACTTAAAGTAATGATATTAATTAATAAGATATTGAGAATTCACTTAAATATTGGGTTTTTTTTTTTGTGAATATAATGTCAATAATCTTTACTGTCGCTTCGGTTGCAACCGATCAGGAGATACACAATGAATAAATAGTTGATAAAACTATAAGCATGCCAATTAAGTTCGATGATAGTCCTCTAAATATTAAGACAAAACCTCAGTTTTGTACATCAAGATTTGTAAGGCACTAACCATTCATCTTTCGTTGTGGTATGGTTTTTCTTAATAGATTGTTCGATACTAAATTCCATTGAAAGCTAGGGGCATTCAACGTTTACTTTCAAAAGAAAAATTTGGTTCCTGTATGTAATTTAAAAAAAAATTTTTTTTTATTAGAATTGAAAAAAAATGTTTGTCGTAGAAAAAAAAAACAACAGAAGAACTATTGAGCTGGGAACTGGCCAAAGAACCGTGTATATGTATAATAGTTTTACGTTTTTTTTTTCTTTTCATCAATGCATGGTGTTTTAATTAACAGGAGTGGCGAGCCTCTATGGCTATCCAGAAGACAAAGAAAATTACACGGATGAGAAAAAGGATACTCTTAGGAAAAGAAGCACAAAAGGTAGAGTATGCAGCTTATTGATTTTGTTTCTTTTTAAAGTTAAAAAAGATCATTAAGCACAGTAAAATCTGAAGTGTTTTCTGAACCTGATACTTTGGTGAAAGTAATTAGTGTTCTGATTATACAATCTTGCCAGTAACCACAAGGGAAACAAAAAAAAAATGAATTTTCTCGTATGTTTAACTTTTTTTTTCAATTATAATTCCTAGTTGGAACTTTTACGTTATAAATATCAGGTTTAATCCACCATTTTCTACATAAGGAAATGCCTGTACCAAGTCAGGAATATGACAGTTGTTTTCCATTCGTTTGATTTGTTTGAGCTTTTGATTTTGCCATTTTATAAAGGACTTTCCGTTTTGAATTTCCCTTGGAGTTCTGTATTTTTGTTATTTTACCCTTTTGGGCCTTCAGTCATAACACTTTACTCTGTACTCGGAATACAATATTTGTGCTCGCAACACCAAATCCAGTATCTTGAACTCTGCGTACGATAATCATATCACAAATTTTCATGACCGGAAGGCCTAATCTTAAGATTGACTGTACTTCAAAAGTGCAACTATATGATTAGAAAAATAATCATTATAAGGAGAATAACATAACACACAGCGAACATATTGTTTACTTCTACAAAATGACGGGAAATATACCAGGGCTGATATGCATAAAACTACTTAAGTTAAGATTTGTTCCTAACGGACGGATTTTTTTACATGTCCAACAATAAATTAGTACTACGATTGGAAATCTTAACCTAAGTGGTTTTATGCATATTAGCCCTGCTACATATTTCGTTTCAAAATGATAGTTTTTTAATTGTATATTTTTGGGGTAATCAATAGAGTTAATATAGATTTCTGTAAATAGATGAGATTAAAAATAAAATCTTGAGAAATCACATATTCTTTAAGTTAACAATAATTTTGAATAGTTAGAAATAATGTCAGGGAAAAGACGTTTCTGGTATGCAAAAATGCATATTTAACTATGAGAAATCTGATAAGATATTACTAAAATTTCAAAATAAGTGACAAAAATTATATCTGAGATGACAGTTTAAAAATAAATACTGAACATATACTAGTAGCCGTTTAATATTTCTTTACAATAGCATTGCATAGTTTAAGAATAGAGGGTTACAAACTATTCAGGAAAAGTCAGAAACAAGAGAGCAAACACCCTCAACTGGGTTGTTCATGTAGTTAGTATACTTATTTTTAATACTTTTAATTTATTTTAAAGTTGGAGGTCCAAAATGCTACACCTGTTCTAACATTGCTGATCCTAGTCAGTGTACACAAACAACACAATGTCGTGTAGACGAGGTAAGGTAACACCTGTTTTAACATTGCTCATCTTAGACAGACTGAGTGTACACAGACAACACAATGTAGTGTAGACGAGGTAAGGTTACAGCTATTCTAACATTTTTTATCCTAATCAGTGTACACAAACAACACAATGTAGTATAGACGAGGTAAGGTAACAGCTGTTCTAACATTGCTGATCCTAATCAGTGTACACAAACAACACAATGTAGTGTAGACTAGGTAAGGTTACACCTGTTCTAACATTGCTGATCCTAGTCAGTGTACACAAACAACACAATGTCGTGTAGACGAGGTAAGGTAAATACCTGTTCTAACATTGCTGATCCTAGTCAGTGTACACAAAAAACACAATGTCCTGTAGACTTGGTAAGGTTACACCTGTTCTAACATTGCTGATCCTAGTCAGTGTACACAAACAACACAATGTCGTGTAGACGAGGTAAGGTAACACCTGTTATAACATTGCTGATCCTAGTCAGTGTACACAAACAACACAATGACCTGTAGACTAGGTAAGGTTACACCTGTTCTAACATTGCTGAGCATAGTCAGTGTACACAAACAACACAAGGTCGTGTAGACGAGGTTAGGTAACACCTGTTTTAACATTGCTGATCCTAGACAGTGTACACAGACAACACAATGTCGTGTAGACGAGGTAAGGTAACAGCTGTTCTAACATTGCTGATCCTAGTCAGTGTACACAAACAACACAATGTAGTGTAGACGAGGTAAGGTAACAGAGATCACCCCCAGTTTTTGGTGGGGTTCGTGTTGCTTGGTCTTTAGTTTTCTATGTTGTGTCATCAGTACTATTATTTGTCTATTTGTGTTTTTATTTTTGGCCATGGCGTTGTCAGTTTGTTTTCGATCTATGAGTTTGACTGTCCCTCTGGTATCTTTCGTCCCTCTTTTTTAACAGCTGTTTTAACATTGCTGATCTTAGTCAGTGTACACAGACAACACAGTGTAGTGTAGACGAGGTAAGGTTACAGCTGTTCTAACATTGTTGGTCCTAATCAGTGTACACAGACAACATAATGTAGTGTAGACCAGGTAAGGTTACAGTTGTGGTACGTTTACACTTACAGTACTAAGACCTAGGCCTTCGGTCATAAAACTTTACTCAGTACTCGGGAGTACAATATTTGTGCTCGAAACACCAAATTGATCAGTTTCTTTTGACACTAATATAAAAACAAGAAGATGTGGTATGATTGCAAATGAGAAAACTTTCCACCAAAGACCAAAAGACGTAAAAGGTAGCAAAACCAATACCACATGGCCTCAACTATGAACAGAACAAATATGATATATAGCAACAAACAACGACCACTCAATTATGGGCTCTTGACTTCGAACGGGCATATACAAAATGTTGTGAGGTTGAACATGTTGTCGTCTTGGCTGCATTTTACCACGTTTTCGCTTCATTGTACGACGACGTCTTGAATTTATTTGTACCACATCTTGGCTTCAATGTACGACGTCTTGGCTTCATTTGTAGGACGTCTTGGAATCATTGTACGACGTCCAGGCGTCATTGTACGACGTCTTGGCTTCATTTGTACGACGTCTTGGGAACATTTGTACAACATACAACTATTTACACTAACAGTGGCTTATTTTCGTGGAGTTTAAATTTTGCGACTTCAATCAGTGTACGCCCCTCCATTTGCAGTATCTTTGTAAATTTCTTTGGTTGTCAAAAATAAGCGTTTTGTAATTATTTAGTTATATACTTTAAATTTCATAGTTGCTGTTATTAATGATTTTGAATATCATTCCAGTATTGTAAAGAAACTGCTGTACCGGGAAGTCAACCTCAGAAATTTAATTTGGGATGTGAGAAGCTAACGGTAAGTTTTAGATTGACTGAGTTGTGTCAATGGTAGCCAAAAAAGGAGTAGGTTTGATGAAGCTCAATATGGGTTACTCATCGAACTGAAATACTTTTCGCCTTTAAATAACGGGCTTGATATTTTTGGCAAAATCTGGTCATTACCTCACGTACCCATTTAAACATTATAGACATAATCAGTGATAATATACCAGTTTCATAATGTCTCATGTAGGAATTCCTATATATACGCGACACCGGTTACAATTTTAAGCGCCTTCCGAAGATACCTTAGAAACAAATTAAAAAACATAATAGTCGTTTTAAAGTTTATGGGTCATCTGTCTAGTTTATGCAACAATAACCTAGAGAAAACATGTTCTTAATTCTATAATAAAGTATACTTCTATTAAAAGTTGCCAATTTTGTACTTAGGCTTGTGCTGGGCTTGACAGTGGAATTATTATCGGAAAACGCCACGAAAATACCAGGTCAATTGATGGAAACAGAAAACGACAAACCAACTCAAACTGTAATAGATGTTGTTCCAGTCATCTATGTAACAACAATTTATGTAAAACTGAAAGTAAGTGAGCTGTTATAATTTAAAATATGTTTTTTCTTACCCTTTCCTATGATATTTTTAAAGTAAAATCATGGTTTCGATTGCTTGTTTATATTGTATTCAGAAGCACCTAGTCATCGTCTGGTGATTGAGTATCGGAGTTGGCATAGTTAGGCGACAGAAGACCGACTCTTTTGTCTCTGTGACTCAATGCCATTGGTGACGAGTACCATTACATTATAAATTGTCAAATCCTTGAATTAGAATGTCAGTGTTTCTGCCGAAGGTATTTGGTTCTCTCCAGACACTCTGGTTTCCTCCAGCAATAACAACTTGATTACCGCCAAGATATAACCAACAAGGCTGAAAGTGGAGTAAAACACCAATTATCAATCAATTAATCAAATCGTGACGTCACTAGATCAAACTATAAGAAGCATTCTTTATCTTTTTTTCCAGATCCAGCTGTAATTCCTACAGTTCCTGGAAATCACCAAACATATGTTAGATTAGTAGGCGGAGCTAATCCTTATATGGGAAGGGTTGAAGTATTTCATAACGGTTATTGGGGATCTATTTGTGATGATGACTGGACGGGAATTAATGCAGGAGTAGTTTGTGGAATGCTTGGATATAGCAGGTAAGAATTTTAAAGGTAAAGGGAAGTAACTGCATTTCGAGAAAAGTGGAAGTTTGCAATACTGCATTCAGAGAAAAGTTGACATTTATTTATGTTCAAATTGTATAATGGTGCACAAATATATCATTCGTTTCCTTTACCTGTTCTGGTAATTCAAGATATAATTTGGTTGAAATGCACTAGAAATTAACAATTAAGGGAAGCTAACTCCGTAAATTGCTATCATTTTAACCAAAGGTTATCTAGAGATTTCTCAAATTACCAGACACGCAGACACAAAAGACCTACCATCTATAACTCAGGATAAGGGTAACTTCAGAATAGGATGGTTAGGTCGGTGGGTTTTTTTCGGTCATGTTTTGAAATTATTCTAAATTACCCGATTCTTACAAAGACTGGCACTTAAAAGATGAGTAAAAGTTTGCAGTAACCGTATAAATAGGTGAGTAAGAAGATTTCAGTATCTGTATTAAGATATAATTTGATGCATGCGGTAACTGTGTGTAGGTGCATAACAAGTTCATTTTAATAAAGTTTCTACAGCTCGTACAGATACATTTTATAATTTCCGAAAATGTTCGTATATGTAATGTAAATGTAAAATATACACATATTGAAAAAGAGGGGATACTGGTGTATCAATTCATGACACTACTAGCATATGAAAGAAAACAAAGGACCAGTGCTTTTATCACTGTTATTGGTCTCAAAGTCACATTGAGGCCTTCAACAAAGAACTATTTTACTCTCACCTCATTGCAAACTACAGTCGGCTCTAGCACCGGTCTGAGTGCAGTTCTTTGAACTTTAAATTGATCATATATTATCGGTTTCTTGACCTTGCTCCGGATCCAAATACATGTAAATTAAATGGTTATAGCGTCAAAACCAAATTTGCTTAAATAAAAGCTCAACAGATGGCCTCAAATCACATTTGCCCGAGAGAGTTTAGATTTTAGTTTAGTATATTATTATATAATCTATAAATTAAATTTGTGAAGCAAAATGTGCATCTCATTCAATAAGAAGATACTATCAGAGACGTAATGCAATTATTTCCCCCTTTTTTAATCTTAAATGTTTTTTGGTTGCTAACAGGGAAGGATCCGTTGGCGTTTCAGGAGCTGCATTCGGAAGTGCTCCTGCTACTGCACATATATGGATGGATAACGTCAACTGTACAGGATATGAAAATAACATTGATGAATGCCACTTTAATGGTTGGGGAGTTCATGATTGTTCCCATGGCGAAGATTCTGCTGTTGAATGTTCTTCTGGTAAATTGAAAAAAAAATAATCATATCTCAGGGGCGTATTGCCGGGGACAAGAGGGACAACCCCAAACAGACACATAATGAGAAAAAATCATACCGTATAGTCGGCTATTAAAGGCCCCGACATAGAAAATATGAAACAACACTATTGAGAAAACTAACGGCCTAATGTTACAATGTTTTCTTTCATACATATTCGTTTTTTGCCTTATAGAATTTTTCACCAAATGAGATTTTAAATATTTCGATTTGTTGCACGATCTGAATTATTATATCCTCCGAGAGGTAAACATTACAGGTCTAATGTTGAATTGTGAACTTTTCATTTCTATGTAACAACATTCCAGCAGCGCCTGCATACGGAGTATATATATCCCAGTTGATACGATATTCCAGGGCTTGTATTTCCTATCATGATTTCCTTGATGGAGGGTTGCTGCTCACAAGGAAGCTATAAAACCAAGAGTTCAAAGTGGTGAAATCGATATCATCCCTTCGTAAATTTTACGGACGCCTTCATGAGTTGGTTGACCGTTATGGAATATCCGTTTCACAGATGATAGCGGTTATGTTCCAAATGTTGTAATTACAATCCCGTCCCCTTTTCTCCGAATGTGACCTACCGAATTAGACTTATTATTGGGTTTGTAATAACATGAGCAACACGACGGGTGCAACATTTCGAGCAGGATCTGCTTACTCTTCCGGAGCACCTGAGATCACCCCCATTTTTTGATGGGGTTCGTGTTGCTCATTCTTTAGTTTTCTATGTTGTGTTTTGTGTACTATTGTTTGTGTGTTTGTCTTTTTCTCTTTTAGCCACGGCGTTGTCAGTTTATTTTCGACTTATGAGTTTGAATGTCCCTTTGGTATATTTCGCCTCACTTTGATATGGATATCAGCAAATATTATTTCTTATATATAAATATTATATCAATTTGACGTATGTGTGACTAACAACCTACAGGGGCGTATCCACCCATTTTTAAAAGGGGGGTTCCTATCCAGGATAAAGAGGGGGGTCCAACCATATGTCCCCATTCAAAAGCATTGATCGTAAAAAAAAAGAGGGGTACCAACCCCCGAACAACCCCCCCCCCCCCCCCCCCCCCTTGTATCTTGTGGATAGGTGTGCTGGTTTATTTTATTTCATTCTTTTTCTATTGCTATTTACTTATTATTATTATTTCTGTTAATTACTTCTTTAATCTTTTGTTATCAAACATTTACCATTCATATTCCTATATATTATAGCATAACTACCTTTAATTAACGAACACTGACAATTGTTAAAGCCGTTAGTAGTCGTTTCTCTTATATATAAAAATGAAGATGTGGTATGATTGCAAATGAGACTCTCCACAAGAGACCAAATGACACAGAAATTAACAACTATAGATCACCGTACGGCCTTCAACAATGAACAAAACCCATACCGCACAGTCGTAGTCCGAATATCTTTCTTTTGTTTTATTGTTTCGTTAGTCTTCATGCCTCAAACCTTAATTAAATGTTTCTTGTGAATTGAGTTGAATTGAATTGAGTTGAGTTGAATTGAATTGAATTGAATTGAATTGAATTGAATTGAATTGAATTGAATTGAATTGAATTGAATTGAATTGAATTGAATTGAATTGAATTGAATTGAATTGAATTGAATTGAATTGAATTGAATTGAATTGAATTGAATTGAATTGAATTGAATTGAATGACACTTTTATAACTTTATTTTAGCAAGTCAAGAAGACAATATGATCTTCTTGTTGGATATAAATGGTGATGGACTTATTTACAGAATGGATTTATACACACAAAGCTATGTCCGAATACCAATTAACCGCTTGTACACACCAACTGCAATTGATTATAACCCTATAGAGGGAAGAATATACTTTGTAGATGGGCGACTGAAACAACTCGCCAGTATGCATTTCACTGGAGACGATATAAGAGAACTTAAACAACTTGATACAAGTAAGTTCGTGTTCTCAGTATTTTCTTATTCCCGTCATTTGTTGGCCGAGGCATCTAATGTTACTCATGCTCGTCCTTCCGTTAATCCTAACTGCAGCAGTTGCTTGTCCATTTTTCGCTAGCTTGAATAAATAGAGCTTTTTATGTTTATAAGTACATACTAGTAATGATGATTTACAGTTCGGGTACACGTTTCGTATCGAATGGCCTACTTTTAATAGTATCAAGACCATTGAAATTAGGCAGCAGTGGGAATTAGCGTCCCGCAAACATATCTACATTTATTGTTTAGTTCATTAGTATTTTGACATGAAAATGTGTATCCTTACAGTCACCATAGATCTCATTGAAGACTTTATGTTTGGCATTCCAGGTGAAAAATTGTATTTGATAAGCTTCTTTACAGTCGAAGCTATATTAATACAGTCATTCAGAACTCAATGCAAATATACTAGTTTTAGAACTAACCTATACATCTATACAAACAAAACATGAATGAGATGAAATGTGGGGTAAACGTCAATGACCTAACAACAAAAACAGTCACAAAGACATCTAGAGAATAAGCTCTAATCGTCACGAGTCTCGAAAGTTGTGAAAAATAATTAACAGAAACAATTCTTTTAATATCAGATTTGTCCAAAGTTGTGTGTTTCAACTTTCAGATTTTAGCAACCTTTCACAATATGTAAATATGCTTGTAACAATATGTTTAGTGTAAACCCAAAATGGGAGGATCATACAAGTACAAAACAGAACAAAACAGTCTCCAAATATAACTAAAACATTTAAGATCATTGCTTGCTTTACATATTAGCGGTTTGTCTTTAAACACGAACCTAGGATGAACTATAAATAAAGAATAATACAGTATTTTGTTATGTATTCGTTAAAACAAAAATATATATAACCTTTTTGGAGAGAAACATAATATTATGTTCATCGTGTGTTCATATCTTAACATTGTTGTTAATGTTTTTGGCAGATGCTGATTTAGATAAGATTGAAGTTGATCCAATAAATAGGAGATTGTTCTATGCGGACACTGGAAATAATCAAATCGGATCATTGAGTCTGGATGGGTCGGATTTTCGTATTATTGTCAACAGCGGTTTAGATGAACCTCGAGATGTCGTTTCGGATCCAAGAAATAGGTCTGTGTGTTTCTTCTAAATAATCAATTTATACAAGTCTGTGGTAGATTGAGTTAAAGAGAGGACGAAAGGTCAAAACGAAAATAAGGGGATTGCTAAAAAATTGAAAAATGTTCTAATAATAAAAATGTCGGCTATTAGTGGTCATGGCCCCCGCCCTCTTCTCGGTCCATCCTTGCAGTTGAAGGTATACGGACACATCGATAAACGGATTAAAATGATTTTATTTTAATACTTTTAGCATCATTAGTTACTTTCAAAGCTATAATTGAAGTACTGGTAGATACTTTATTCATTATGAAATATATGCTTACGTTGGTACAGAAATAGGTTTTTTCTGAAGGATGTTCGCACATCTTGTTTTGGAGTTTTTGTCAGATATTCGGAATCCTCTAGTTTTATCCATGTAATGCCAATACAAATTTTGGCCGCAAACCCCTACTATTCTTTTTATAATCTTATCACATATAGTTTAAAAAGCCATATTAGAATCTTATAAAGTCCTTGTTATTTTTCAGAGTTTTTGAAAAAAAAACAGGTGCCAATGTTAAATGTATGACAAATCTAGAGAGAACCACTTCCCGCCAAATTTTCAGTGGCTTATATTTCGAAAACAAGCACACGGGCCTTTTAATTTTTTCAGCTTTTTTAGTTCCTTTATTTGTATACTTTCAATTTATAGCAATCTTTTACAGAGCTTGTTATTTTGAAGCAGAGTAGCGAACATCACTAAATACAATTATAACTAACTAATATAGACTCAGACTTATTTTTTTTTTGATTGACAGAATTGTATACTGGTCTGACTGGGGATCATCGCCAAAGATAGAGAAAGCAAACTATGACGGAACCGGAAGAACTGTAGTCGTCAACTCTAATCTGAAATGGCCAAATGGAATGGCTATTGACTTCGATGGTATATATAGATTCGTGACAGTTTAAAACAAGTTGTATTCAGAATACAAATTTGCGACATATTACATGATTGCATGGGATTGCATATTAGGAAATCTGCATTTAAAAACATTATCAAATTATCAAGAGTGCAGTATATGAAAAGCAGAGTAAAGTTCCGAATGAAAAATTTTGAAATTTCGTATATGTTTTGCATCCAGTGTGTGTGTGTGTGTTTGTGTGTGTATGTGTGATGGTGCGTGCGTGTGTGTGTGAGAGAGAGAGAGAGTAGTTTCGTTTCCCTTTTACAAGGACTTTGTATATACCTTTTTGAATTATGCGTTAAGCTGATTTGAATAGTAAAGTAATGTTATCACTAAAATATACTCTAAGAAATAACCCATTTTTTTTTTAATTTATTATCAGAAAACAAACTATACTTCGTTGATGCTGGTACAGACAAAATTGAAAGCACTGATTTAAACGGAGGAAGTAGACATACAATATACACAGAAACTGGTTCCCATTTCTTTGCTATATCAATCTTCCAACAATATCTTTATTATACAGACTGGACGGAACAGTAAGTAGATAATTTCATTAAGAGACTCTATGTCTTAGAGGAGGTCACAGAAAACCAAAAGAAAAGGTCTTTTGAAAAGTTAACAGAATATTTGGATTGCATCGCAATATTGAATTATTTAAGCCATATTTGTTGAGCTCTAAAATACTATTGCACATATATTTTTTGGGATGAAGGATTGAAACGTTTTGTTTCGAATGCATGCAATAAAATGTTTAATTCTGGTATAAATTTTAGTCCTGGGATCTATGTTGAGTTTATATTCTCTTAAACATCTATATTTTTAATCATTTCACGATTAACTATAATATTGAGTTTCAAAGCGATCATACGATTCAATGGCATTTTTTTGTAGCTCTGTAATGAGAATAAATAAGGATGGGACAGGAAGAACGCATGTTGGAGCTGCTACATTCAGAGAACTGGCAGACATCAGAGTTCATAAATATGGATATGGTTTGCCAGGTAATAATAAATATACTATTTTGATATTTATATTTTTTTTCAATATCTGTATCCTATATTTCAGTTACATCTTTTCCAGATTTGCAAGGTAAACATTTGAAAATTATGTGAATACGGTATTTATATTTGTTTTCTTAAATAAATTTCATTTTAACTTTTCAATTACACTTTTTCTGATTTTATGTTTACATTAGATGCCATTTTGTCAACTTTTATTATCTATTTCACCCCAAAATTATTTGTATATGGCTAAAAACGATATAACACTTTTTGTATATAACATTCTGCATGCAGTAAGAATGAACCGCAAAGTATAATGTATGTTTGAAGATAGTTTTAAAAAAGGCTGCTAGACAAATTGAAGAGTTGAAAACTTTTAAAGGCTAACCACACATATAACATTCACTATCAAGACAATTGTGAGTTAATGAGAGATTTAGTTTACCCGGATTTGTATTAGGTAGGTGCGCTGAGTCATTTCATAGTAATAGAAAGACATATCACCCTTACCAGACACATTTTTGGCTTTAAGCCGACCAGTCGTTGCTCTTACTCCTTAATGTCATTTGTTTTTTGAAGTTGTAGCAAATACCAATTTTTAAAGTCTTTATTCTGACTTTGTCAAGTTAAAACTAACGACCTCCCGCACACGCGGCGGGCATGCTACTACATGTACATAAACGAGGAATTCAAGGCGGTTTGACGTGAAAGAAATGAAAGACTGACGTATCGTTAAACTAAACGTTAGTATATACTTAAGATCATTTATCACTTTTAAAAGAAAAATGTGTGAGATAATTTAGAAAGTGAATACAAATTTAAAGTGTTTACAACACACATGTCAAGTAATATAAACGACACATGGTTATTTCTAAATACATTTATCACATTTTTGTACAGGTGTTGTCACCCCATCCCCAATTGTCATTGATGAAAGTCACATGTTTGTACGGTTAGTTGGTACAGGAGGACACAATGAGGGAACTGTACAGGTATTTGTCAATGGAGTTTGGGGATCAATTTGTGATGATCACTGGGGAGATGTTGATGCTGGAGTTATATGTCACATGCTTGGATTTGGAAGGTAAGACTTAGTATTTATTTTTAGAAAGGTAAGAGAAAGAGAGAGAGAAATATGTGTTTTTTTTTCTAATTTTATCTATGCAACTCTTTTTAAATGTATAAAACATTTCGTGTCATTGCGTAATTGATAAAAAAAAATCATTTATTAATATCGATCATTGTATAAAATACACCACTTTCCAAATTTGATATGCGTTATGTATCATCTGTCAGTCAATAGTCAATTTCCAATTCATTTTTGTTTTGAAACTGGAAACAACTAGGTAAAAGGCGAGTAGAACAAGCAGGACGTGTTTTTTTTTATCTCAAAATTTTTTACAATGAAAGTTTATCAGTTTTACGTACATCAGAACTTGCTAATCCATAAAGCTTGTAAAGGCTGAGATACTGTTTGTCGTACTTAGGAGTTATTTCCCTTTCAAAAATCTCTAAAAGTCGAACCAGGTTGGTAATTTGAAAATGAACTGAATTTCGAATTATAGAATCGTAAAAGTGGTTTGGACTAACAAAGGTTACAACCATACCTGATTATTTAACTAACACCAGTATTTTTAAACGCAGTGTAAAAACTCATCAAATCTACCAGTCTTATAAGCTAGATTTTTTTTATCTCTAGAGAACATGCAGTAGCCGTTTCAGATGCACGATACGGTACTTCACAAGTAACGCCAATATTTCTGGATGAGGTGGCTTGCTCAGGAGCGGAAACACATATTGCGCAATGTCAGTTGCCTCAAGGGTGGGCTATTCATGATTGTGGACATGGCGAGGATGCTGGTGTTAAGTGCCAATATAGTGAGTAAAACAATCATAAATCAATTGTCTAAATTTTAGTAAAATGATTTTTTTAGGAGAGTTCCGCGGAATTACATGAAGGTTTGTCAATGTTATTAATGACTGAAAAACATTAACCTTAGACTGTATAATAATGTTAGCAGTAAAAAAAAACTAAGTTCATCTTATAGTAAAATACGGAAAATGAAAATAAATATATTAAAATTTTTCTCTTTTTTTATCATTAAAAAGCTTCTCTCCAACTTATGTAATATTCTATGAATGTTTGACAATGTTATTGATGACTGAAAAACTTAAACCTTTGATATACTGTATCTATATGTCAGCTTTTAAAAAAATAGGTCCATTTAATAGTAAAATACTGAAAAAAGAAAATAAATATTTTCCAAAATTTTGTTCTGGACTTTTGGTCATCAAAAGCTTCTGTCCAAATTTCATAAAATTCCATAAAGTTTGATAAAGTTATTGATGTTTAAAAAACTTTTAACTACATACTGAACCTAAAATTTGATGCGGCCGACGACGATGACGACGGAATCTAGGATCGCTTTGTTCCGCTTCCCCGACATAAATGTCGCTGGCTGCATGGACAACAATCATATAAACGACTACTGTGGATTCAGAATTATTCATGTGTACATTTTATGAATTTTATGTGTATTGGTGAATTACGGATTTGCGTATTAAACAATTCTAAATATCAGTAATATGTATATACAAAACTTTCCAAACCCTTGAAATAAAAAAATCCACGAAAATATTTTGTTCCCAAAATCACCTAAAATTATTTCTCAAAATACAATGAAAAAAATCATATAATATCCAGACCAGAAAAAAAAATTAACGATATAACGAAGATTAAAACTAATGGAACAGTTAAGAGGGTCTGGATGGGGTTTACAAAATAGAAAATAATGGGATAAAGTGCAGAATAAGAGGCCAAAAGAATAAAGAACTAATGAAACAGTTATGAGGGTCTGAATTGGGTTTTCAGAATAGAGAATAATGGACAAAAAGTGCGGAATAAAGGTCAAATAATTATAAAAAATTATATATAAAGAAAAATAGGCAGAAAAAAAAGAATAGAGAATAATGGGGTATTAAAATATAACGATTAGATAATAATGGGCCAAAAATAGTAAATAATAAAGAAAAATCAAATAAAGATCAAGAATAAAGAAATGAAAAACCTCCAGTTATGTTGCTTGCATAGTGCGATTTCATATTCCAGATAATTAACTTTTGTAGATCCGTCACAAATTCGAACATCCATTATTACCACTGACTCAAGACGGGCGGAAATATACAGAATAGACATGGAAACCGGAAGTTATTCGGCCATTCCAAACCAAAATGTCTTCAATCCCGTCGCTATTGGTTTCGATAGTAGTCAAAAGACAATATATTATTCAGATGTACGTTTGCACCAAATAAGGAGCACCAATATTGATGGTTCGGGAATGAGCATCGTAAAACAACTAGCAGGTGGTATGTTCTTTTATTCAAACATTCTACAACATATTCACAATCGGCAATCCTCGGGTGACTCCGTTATCTCCTTCTATCCATGAGGTACGGAATCGGCCGAGTTGTGACGAATGAACATATTCAGTTAAAATGGGATCGACAGGATATACCAAGAGAACAGTCAAAAACCAAAAAAAAAGGCAAAGCACCATGGTCCAAACAGAAGTACAAAGGAGAGAAACAACAGTTTACACAATACTATACAGAAAACAAACAAATATAAGCAACACAAACTTCTCCAAAATCATGGGTTAATTAAGATGTCCTGGAAGGTCAACAGTTATGTTACTACTTTACTAGTTATACCCGTTATGTTTCTGTTGGTAAAATTCATTGGTAAAAAATATATCTGTATTAGTAACTCATTTCCAAATGACGTATCCTACATGAATTATAATAGCTCAAGTTAAAAGTTCTGGTCAAGCTAGTTTACCTTGAAAGTCACGCGCGTACTTGCATCATTGTTCACCTGTTCATTATGGTGTGAGCTAGATGCGGACTTGACGTAGATCAAACATATTTGACTTTGGTCGTTCCTGATTAAGGTTAATCTAGAAAAGCGCTTAATTCGGACGCATGCAGTTTTTAAAGTGTAAATTGGGAATATCCAATATTATCTTTACACTAAAGAATTTATTCATAATTGGTTTTATGAATCACTTCGTAAGAGAATTATAATATTGGGTTTTCTCATTGTTGAAGGCCGTACGGTTGCCTATAATTGCTTACATCCACTTTATTTGAACTTTGGTGGATAGTTATCTCGTTGGCAATCATACCACATCTCCTTATTTTCATAGGACTTCCAGAAAAGTAAAATCAGTTTGATGTTTAATTACACCGCACGTACTTCTAAAAGTCATAACTACAGTCGTTAATATGTTATTTTTATGAGTTTCGCGTGTTTCTTTCATCATAATATACAAATGTATGTATTATCAATATTTGATACAACATGAGAGTACTCCAAATTATGTAAAAAAACTTTCAGGTGTCGCGGATGGTCTTTCTATCGACGAAACACATCGACTTCTCTTTTACACGGATTATGCAAGAGAACTTGTTGCCGTAATGAATTTGGACGGAAGTAGTGAACGCAATGTAACAACAACAGGAATTTCAAACCCACGTGGTATAACATTGGATACAGCAAATAGGTGAGCCTGGCCATTTTTTTTTTATGAATCATGAATGTCGTCCTCTTAGAAATCTATTTATTGTTATATCAACTTTGAGGAAGAACAACCAGACTCGACACAACATAAGTTTTATTGTCAATGTCATAAATTTCGGACCAATACGATAAGTCTGTGTCACAATTCACTAGCTGAAGCGACATGTTTTCGCAGTCATAAAACTTATCATACAAGAATAGTCGTCTTATCTGTAACTTAACCGATTTTTGCCCTATTTATTTTTGTGACATTTTAACGGAATGTGAGTTCGCACAGCGGGTGGTGCATGTATACCAGGAGACGATAACTCTGTCATTCGATTCCCCTAAGTTTTGTATGATACCTTGATTTGTATTCTTAATGGATTTATAAGATTTGAACATCGGTAAATTTAATAGGTGATATTATTTATCGTTATTTTCTCATAATGTTATTTCAGAATTATATATTGGACTGACTGGGGAAGCAGTCCAAAAATAGAAAGGTCCGGATATGATGGAACAGGCAGACAGACTATTGTAACTACTGATTTGAGCCTACCAAATGCGATTGTACTGGATACTAATAGTACGTAACTACAATACCCATTCATGTACATGTAATAGTTCTGTAAGAGTTATTTCCCTTGTTGTCCATATAGCTTTTGTCGTAATTTATGAAAATTGGAAATAAATGATGAAGGATATGGCGCATGTTGCACTTACTGATTAAATTTTTTAAGAAGCTATTATTTTGCTCCCTAAGAATTCAGACTGAAACGCTGTTTAGATATTTTTTTAGAACAATCCCAAACGAAAACATTTTAATATTTTCACCATCACGCGTGAAATAGATATTACTTTAAATAATCTCTGAAGTTTTTTCCCGAAGTATTGTTTATAATTATGGCTAAGATCAACTTCTATGCATATTAATGATAATAATAATATCTTTATTGTCATGTGCACATATTTAGTTTGTGACAAGATCATTAATAATTTCCAATTGACAAGTGAAGTAATATAAATATGTTTTCTGATTCCATTTAGACCTCTTTTTTTTTCCCATTTATATGTGAATTTATTTTTTCAGCGGGAAAACTTATTTTTGCTGATGCAGGAACCAACAAAATTGAATCTGTAAATACAGATGGGTCTGGTAGACAGGTCATATTTGAAGACGCTGGTGCTCATTTCTTCGGACTTGACGTAGATCAAACATACATTTATTTCTCGGATTGGAACAAAGAGTTAGTTGAACCTTAATTGCCCTTTATCGTTTGATACTATGTAGTAATTTTGTGCTTTACTTTCAAATATTTGACTTTGAGCGTTCCTGATGAAGGTTAACTTAAATGCAGAAAAGCTCCATTTGGCTTTGAGCGTTCCTGATGAAGGATAACTTAAATGCAGAAAAGCTCCATTTGACTTTGAGCGTTCCTGATGAAGGTTAACTTAAATGCAGAAAAGCGCTATTTGGCTTTGAGCGTTCCAGATAAAGGTTAATGCAGAAAAGCGATTCGGACGCATACAATTTATAATGTGTTAATTGGGAATATCCAATATTATGCAAACACTAAAGAATTTACAATGTTTGGTTTATGATTCACTTCGTAAGAGAATTACAATATTGGGTTTCATGTCTGATCCATCAGCGATTATGAGTATAAATGTCTCTTTGCTCATACCGTACATCAATCGGTATCTTCTATTCAATTTTTATTATTAAGTTTTAGTATTGAATTATAAATGACATTATTTTACATTTTCTTCATTCAAAAACACCTCCCTTATTTGTAAAATTGTTCAAGCAATGGCAGCCATACTCCATATAGCCCTTTGAGATAACGGCTCATAAACCAAACGCCAAACCATCAAACTGTTTATGTATTTATAAGCGTAATTATACCCCCGCTTTAAAAAAGTGGGGGTATACTGTTTTACCTCTGTCCGTCCGTCCATCCATCCATCCGTCGAACCGTCCATCCGTCAGTCCATCCGTCAGTCCGTCCGTCCGTCCCATTAATATTTTTCGTCGCATCTTTTTCAGGAACTACATTACAAAGATTTCTGAAATTTGGTTTCAGGGTTTATATGAGTCAGCTATACCGTGTGATGCGTTTTCAGATTCATCACTCAAAAACTTCCTGTTTACCTTATACTTTTATCGGACGGTAGCTGTAGCTCACAGATTCACTTGTTTTAACTGTATTGATGTTGGTCAGAGAAATATTTGACTATGATTACCCCATTGAGGGCATATCTAATATTGAGTTTCATTCATAAGTGATGAGTATAAATGTGACTTTGCGCATACCGTACATCAATCGGTATCTTATATTCAAAGTTTTTAAGGGGTTTTAGTATTGAATCATAAATGACATTGTTTCTAAGTTTTAAAACACCACCCTTATTTATCAAAGTATTTAAGTCCTGGCAGTCTTTCGAGCTAATGAGCCTTAAACCAAACATCAAATAATTTATGTATGTATAGGCCTTATGATAACAGTATATATTAAATGTTGGTCAGAAACATATGTGGCTATAACTAGTATCTCCGATATTCTTTCAGAGGTATATTGAGGATTAACAAAGATGGAACACATGAAGTCAACATTGGTCCTCCTTCATTTGGTAGAATGAATGGCATCAAAATTATAAATGGTTGAACAAGTGAGTATGCAAAATACTAAAAAAGTATAACAAAAATACCGAACTCCAAGGCACATTCAAAAAGGGGAGGTCCATAAAAACTGACGAAATCAAACGCTATCAATCAACGGAATAAGTGAAAACCAACAGCCATATTTCTGACTTGGTATAGGCATTTTTCGAAGAAAATAGTGGGTTAAACCTATAAGAGTAAAAAATATAGACTAGCCATCATGAACAACACCCCAAAACAGAAGATTATTACGTGCTACGGAGGAGTAAAGAGTTTCTTCGCCTTCCGTTGTGTTAATAGTGACAACAAATCATTAGCAGTCATGGTTTAAAATATAAAACAAGAATTGATCCCTTTGTGTGATTTGTCTTTTACTGTGCCATACATGTACCCAAAAATATATTGATCAAAATTCAGAGAGGGTATACATACAATGACATTAATGCACTGAAAAGTCTTTGAAATTTAGTTAGAATATATGATGCAAGCTTTTAACCTCAATTTGTAGTTATGGGTAAAAGGATCTTTAGCTACTAATATTGAAACTCCCAAAAATCAGTTACTTGTTAAAAATAGCATGCGGAAGTTTCATTTAAATCCAGTGTTTCCGATTTAGGCATGTTGATACAAAATGCAAACGTCGTAAGGAAGGGAAAACAAAATGGGCAAAAGAAATATATTATGCCCGGCGATTATTGTACACCTTGCTATATATGCATTTCTTTACTTTTGTACAAACAAACAAAAAATAGCTGAGAAATATCTTAGTACAAAAGCCTACAAACAATAACTCGTATGTTCTAAATACTTTTTTTTTATTATAAAACTATACTACAAAATTCTTATCATTTTCTTTGCAGAATATAAATACAAGGTTTTATGCATTATTTTTTAATAAACATATTTTTTAACATAGTTTTACGTTGTTTGTTTTAATATCATCTGCGTTTTATACCAGTTAGTAAGTATCAGCCGAATATATATGCTTTTAAAGTATACCAGGCAGAGACGGATCCAGGATTTTTTAAAAGGGATCCGTAATTCCATAAAACGGATAATACCACCGAGCGAAGCAAGGCGAAAAATATTTTGGACCATTTTATGCTAAAAAATCATATAAATCGTAAAACAAAAATGATGTAATAAATTTGTTTGTGGCGACCAAAGGGAGGCGTACGCCCTCTACGCCCCCTGTTACTACTGTACTTAACCATGAGAAGATAAGTTTCTAAAAATCTTCGATCATAAAAAAGCAATATAGAAATCTATTAATATGTCCAAAATCATAATAGAAAAACGCCTGAAAAAGATAGGTTTATGATGATTTTTTTAAAGTTGAAGTCTTGGAGTAAACATTGTCACTGCTGTTGAATCAAGATAATCATCAATCTCCTCCTTTTTAGCTCACCTGGCCCGAACTTTCTCATCACTTGGCGTCCGTCGTCCGTCGTCGTCGTTTACTTTTTACATTTTGAACTTCTTCTAGAGAACCACTGAATGGAATGAAAACAAACATGGCATGCATGTTCCTTATGAGGTGTTGACCAAGTGTTGTTACTTTGAAGCCGACCCTTCATCCAAGGTGGCCGTCAGCGGGGGACTTAGTTTAACACAGGACCCTATGGGAAATACATACAAATGTCTTCTTTTAGAAAACCACTGAATGGAATGAAACCAAACATGGCATGCATGTTCCTTATGAACTGCTAACCAAGTGTTGTTACTTTGAAGCCGATCCATAATCCAAGATGGCCGCCTAGGGGTGACTTAGTTTAACATAGGACCCTATGGGAAATATTTACAAATGTCTTCTTTTAGAGAACCACTGAATGGAATGAAACCAAACATGGCATGAATGTTCCTTATGAGATGCTGACCAAGTGTTGTTACTTTGAAGCCGATCCATCATCCAAGATGGCCGCCAGCGGGGGACTTAGTTTAACATAGGACCCTATGGGAAATACATACGAATGTCTTCTTTTAGAGAACCACTGAATGGAATGAAACCAAACATGGCATGAATGTTCCTTATGAAGTGCTGACCAAGTGTTGTTACTTTGAAGCTGATCCATCATCCAAGATGGCCACCAGCTGGGGACAGTGTTTAACAAAGGACCCTATGGACAATACATACAAATGTCTTCTTTTAGAGAACCACTGAATGGATTGAAACCAAACATGGCATGAATGTTCCTTATGCGGTGCTGACTAAGTGTTGTTACTTTGAAGCTGATCCTTCATCCACGATGGCCGCCAGCGGGGGGACTTCCTTTAACATAAGGCCCTATTGGAAATACATACAAATGCTTCTTCTAGAGGTGCACTGAATGGAATGAAACCAAACATGGCATAAATGTTTCTTATGAGGTTGCTACTTTGTTGCTGATTTACTGTTCAAGATGGCCACCAGGATTTTTTATTAAATTACAGGGCCAATATTAAACCAAATTTGGTCTCACTTATTATTAGGGTATCTGTAATGATTTTAATCTATTTTAACATGATTTCCAAAACCAAAGTAGAATCAGGTGAGCGACACAGGCTCTTGAGAGCCTCTAGTTTAATATATCTAGGCTTAAAAAATTTAATGGACCTATACATAAGGTCTGGATGGGGTTTACAAAATAGAGAATAATGGGCAAAAGGTGCAGAATAAAGGGCAAAACAATAAAAAACAAACGAAATATAGGCTAAAAAGTAAAGAATAGAGGATTATGGGGGTGTTAAAATATAAAGAATAGAGAAGAATGTGCAAAATAGACAAAGAATAGAATAAAATGGTTTAAAACATAAAGAATAAAGAAATTGAGGACCCTCCTCCCAATCCAGACGCTCATGCATTTGATGGATGATACAATTGAGTTATATCAGGTTATGTTTGCCCGACACTCCACACCACTGTGGGATACATAAGGCTGTACATATTATTACGTGTAAGCAACTTTTATAATGTACACATAAGACAGCAAGTAATTGTATATTCAGTTCGAATCATAAACAGTATTTAATTTTTATATGCTTTACAAATTGTTTTTAACTTTTTACTTTAAAACTGTTTAAAAAAAGAAGAAAAATAAACACTGTGCTATAGGAAATCTTGTCCAGGAAAGCTATATATTATATAATATATAAAATAAGAAGATATATATATAAACATATTTTAAGCATATATAATTTGCTAACACGTCTGGGTCTTCAAAATTACTATGTTGGAGACAATGAATTGAATTCTATAAAAAAAAACACACTTTTATGGTAGCTGCTCAGATATGAAAAAAAACTATAAATAGTATAAAACTTATGATTTCTATGTTAATTAATATGCACAAATGCTTCAAATGTTCAAAGTATCTATCTGTCATGGCTAGCCCTGCAATGTAGAAATACTAACAAGTAAATACTGTAAATAGGAATAACAGTAGATGTGGTCTACACGTCAAAGAGACAGTATTCCAACGATACAAAATCCCAAATAGGCATCTTGAAGTCAACAAACGATTTAAAAAACAATAGAGATGTGTCTTTTCATATAAAATATATCATAAAATGTAAAATCGTATAACAAAAATACCGAACTTCAAGGCAAATTAAAAAAATGGGAAGTCCATAAAAACTGACATAATCAAACGCTATCAATCAACTGAAAACCCGAAAAAAAACCTTCCAATTGTCTAAATTATTGTGATTATTTTTAAACATCCTATCAAAGATTTACAAACTATACCAAAAAAATATGTCAAGGTGTTACAGCAGACAACAGATGACGAGGTTAAAATAGGCAGGGTCAATTTTCCATGTATTAAATTTCACAGCAGGGTAATTGTCAAATATTCTTTCAATCTGTTCTAAAATTTATAGCATCATAGTTTTGCGTATGTAATATAGGCTTCTAGCAATATTATGGATTTTGACCAACTGAGTGAAGCATATACAGGGAAAACAGTACCTCTTTCCTAAATATCTGAAAGCTCATCTTACCATTGCTTACCAGACGAACACTAGTAAAAGTTAAGTGGTGTCATGAATGGATTGATGCCTTTCAGCGGGTAGTATTTCAACGAAAACTTAACTTTATTCTATATGGATATGCAACTTCCTTATCTGATCTAGGAAATTAGTATTTAAATAATAACCATCTATGTATCGGTTGTTCAAGGGGTAGATGAATAAAAGATGTATATGTGTATTTTCTAAAAAAAGAGTATGGCTAGGATGTAAAATGAATTCAATTTAAAATGTTCAAGTGAAAAAAATATGGCTGTGGTTAAAAAAAACACCGATTGTGCCCCAATAAATAATCCGTTATCCTGCTCAGCACATTATTTTCATATTACAACAATAAATGCAATCCATATCATACTGTCTTAAATATAGTCTTTACAACTGCTCAACAAAAAAACTTGGGCTTCCATCAAACATTTTTAACAATAACCGTTTATTTTCCACATGAAACGTTAAAGGTCACAATAAAGTACTTCCTGAGTTTACTTTTAAGCTTAGCGTTTTTTCTTGATTGGTTGCACCACACTTTTTACCATCACAGGACCGTCTAAGGTTAGCCTCATGGTAGGCCAAACAACGTAGTCCACAATGTCTCCAGAAACTGTGAACTCTCTCATTAAGTCTTTATCTAGTGTAACCCCATGGTCATAGTTGAACTCGAAGGCGATTGGTGGATCTTGTACTTGTGTCAACCAACAAATTGCTATACACTCTTCTGCAAAATCTTTCATCAAGCCTGTGAGTTCTTGGTCATTTTGTCTGGCATATTGCTGAAACAATAAAAATGGTTCATATGTGTGCGTTGGTTTTTCTTTTCTTTTTTTTTTAGGTGAAACACCTATGGCGTGTGTCAAAAAAATGCTAAACTACCTTTTAAAACAGATTGGTCAGTGTAGGCGGATTGATTTGATTGACTGTTGTTTAAAATGCTTACCGTCCAGTAGCGAATATATCATAGAATTGAGAATCGAAACAAGGAATGTGCCAAAGAGACAACAACCTGACCAAAGAGCAGAAAACAGCACAATGCCACCAATGGGTTTTCAACGCAGCGAGAAAATCTCGCACCCGGAGTCGGTCTTCAGCTGGCACAGTTTAGCATGTTTAGAACGAGAACAAATTGACAATAATTTCAATCAGTTGGAAAATCCGAAAATTAGGTCGACTTTAATAATTGCGTGTTGTGCTGTTACACTACCCTAGGTAAGAGGAGGGCTGAGCGCTCATAAACATGTTTAACCCGCCACATTATTTAAGTATGTTCAAGTCAGGAGTCTGTTATTCAGTAGTTGTCTTTGGTTGCTGTCTGTCTTATTTATTTAATCGTTTATCTTTTAAGTATTAATATTGCAGTAGTTTTCCTTCGAATGGTTTCATGTTACACATGATCGTAATATAAGTATTTTTGTTATGGATTGAAAAAGGCAATATCAATCGGGAAAACTTCTTTTTAATCTCCTCCTGTTGACCACAAAGCAATAGACTGACACGAAAGGGGTTCCTTGTTGTAAAAATGGGGTAAGTTCATTTTCTATCTCGCACACAAACGAAGACTATACATAACACCAATCGTTTCAGTAACACAACACGAGATTGTACTCATCTTTATTTGCTGAGAACATCGTCTCATCCAGCTACATATTCTTAACAAGGTACATGTAAAACAAAAATGGAACGCTTCTAAATAGAGGGTCTGGATATGGGGTTTTCTAATCTTTATTTTCACTGACCCATTATTCTTTATTCTATACACACCATCAAATATAAAGTTGTCGTTGTGGGGGCCATACACTTGTATATTCTTGTGGTATGAATGAACAGCTAAGACAACCAATACAAACCCTTTTAATATATTTTAAATTACAAAAAAAACATACCCTATAATATATTTTTTTACACTCGCATTTTCTCTCGTTCAATCACCCACTCGCATGTTCTCTCGTTCTTATATATGATATGTACGCCCATGTGCTTTTCTTAAACATTATGACGTATTAATTTGAAATGTTTCTTACCTGAACAATGGATGGCAGTGTTTGCTGAGCATTTGATTTTCTAATATTTCTAATCGTTGATATATCTATACTACCGGCATTTTGATCCTGAAAAAAAAAAACCAAGTTACATGTGAATGAGTTCAGAGTGCGTTTGGTTGTACAATAGTTATAGAGAGACGCGAAAGGTACCAAAGGGACATTCAAACTCATATTAAGACGAAAATAAACTGAGAAAGACATGGCAAAACAAGAAAAAGACCAAAAGACAAACATAGAAAACTAAAGACTGAACCCCACTTACCCCACCGATAACCGGGTAACTATAAATTAACCTTTTAGAGATATGGAGATATGGATCATTTGAAGCTAAAAACACAGAAATTTTTTTCATAATAGGCAAACTTGAAACAATCAATATGTGAATGTGATTACTAACTGTTATTTAAGGATACATGTCAGTACTTTGACTATAATGATCGAGCTCAATTGGTCAGTTTGTAAACACCGCGCCTTAGAAATCAAGGCTTATTTAGCATCGAGGCTACAGAGATTTTGTCACTATTATTAGCTTTGTCTTTCTTCTCCTATATGTGCGTATCTCTTACTTTGTTCGCCGGAGCGGATCTAGGGTCTGAGAAAATGGGGGCGTTATAGTGTAAAATGGTAAAAAATTGGTGAGTGTAGCAAATCGATATTTTTCAAACAAAAAGCCATGGAACTACGTTGCTCTGAAGGGTGCTCTCATAGTAATGCTCACACTCATAACCGTGTTCATACATTAGAGATCAGAGAATTAAAGACGAAGAAATTAGTTTTCAGATACATGATATTACAAAGACTATTTTAGGGCCAATTTATGTCTTCCTGGCCCTACTCCTTTCAATTGAATAGTTATACTGCTTGTACCAGTTTCTAACATAACAAACTGGATGACAACATCAGTACATGAACTATGGAGAATATAATTAAAAGATACGAACCAGATTGTCTTGAGAGCAACACATGAGCGATGATATGATAGTTTTCTCTTGGTCTTCAACTGTATGTTTACAAAACTGTAGCACTCTCTGTCAAAAAAGGAAGCATAAGACGTATTTAAAGTTATATTGTTTCTTTTTGTAATGTTTATATGAACATCTTGGACTTTCATGTTCCTGTGATTTTATGCTTTAAACAAATAATCTAAAATAATCTAGTCATGAGGTACTGAGTTTTGAAAAGCATGATTATATTGGAGAAAAAAGAAAGTTACAAGTTATTACATCATTGTATATGGTCTAGATAAAAAAAAATAGGGTGAAGTTTATGTGGACTTTAAATTGCATTAACACCTAACATATTTAGCCTTTACCAGGCCGGGCTAACTAACTCAAATTTTGTTCTATGTTGTGTGTCTTTATTTCTCGGAGGTGACGTCTGTTGTACTTTCAAATAGTTTTGGTAATACCTTTTATTGTATTATACATATATGTTTCATTTCATCAAGGTTACTGACTTTCAAAGCAAAAACAAAATGTTGAGAATAAACATAACAAAACAACGGAGCTAAAATAAGAAAGAAAAAAAAACGATACAGAACAGAAAAAACGATCTTAATGAGGATATGAAATTATCTAATTGTTCAATTCAATATTGTTGGATGCGTTCCGCCTTTATCCAACGAAGATGGCTGACGTAACGGAAAAGAAAAGTAAAGGATACCAAACGGACATTGAAACTCATAAGTCGAAAATAAACTGACAACAACACGGTAAAAAAAAAGAAAAACACCAACAGACAAACAACAGTACACAAAACACAATATAGAAAACTAAAGACTTGAGCAACACGAATCTCACCAACCCCAACAAAAACTGGGGGTGATCTCGTGTGCTCCGTCAGAGTAAGCAGATCCTGCTCCACATGTTAAAGTTAATACAAATGTATTTACGGAATTTGATTTGAATGTATGAGGGATTTGTAGCTTTTGTTCAAAACTGGTCCAACTTTTTTGAACTTTTGTTTTAAATCAAGCCTATTCAACTTAGTATTTTTCTCGTTACCTTCCATCCATTTTTATTCGAGTGTCACTGATGAGTCGTGTGTAGACAAAACGCACGTTCTGCGTACCAAATTACAAGTCTTGTAGTATATTCTATAGATTTTCACAGCACTGTGATTTGCTAATAAAGAAATAAAATAAGTTTTTCAGAAGCAAAAAAAAAAAGAGTTCATGAAAATGACTGATATAAAACACCTCAAAAATTGACATGATCTCCATAGCCGCCATTTTTTCCTTTTCACCGCTGTCATTTACATCAGTATAGGAATCCGTAAGTTCGTCAAATATATCGGTCCAAAGATTGTCGTACAACTGTTGGTACCTTTCTACCAGTTTTAAGGGTCTGTTGGGGTCTCCTAGATCTGTTATATTTGGATCCCCATCTAGCTTACTAGCAGATAACGAGCTCAACCTAAAACAAAAAACGTAGAGACTGTTGGAATATATACTTTAACATCAATGTTCTTTTATTCCCCTACCTTGCAGGTGTCCAATCTGCGTAAAATCATTATACTAGTAAAATTAAATACACTAACTTACTACAGTTGCAGGTTAAAATAAAGAGCTGTGCCATGAGTGCATGATGCGCCCTTCGCTCTAAAGTGTAAAAAATGGACAGATTAATTTTGACAATTTTTCAACGAATAAACTCCGCTGTGTCATATCAGAAATTTATAAATAACAAAGGGGAGTACTTCAATAGATATACATAAGTCACCAAAGTTTCATAAAAACTGCTCAAAGCATTTTTGAGTTATTGTACGAAAACTGGAAAATCACCTCTTTTTATGAATAAAGTCCCAATACTCCAAAACGTAAAATCAGAAATTTTAAAAAATCGAAAGGGAGCTTATGCCAATATATATAAACAATTGATCAAAGTTTCATGAAAATTTTCTCAAAGCATGTTATAGTTATATTCAGAAAACTACAAAATCCTCCATTTTTTATGAATAAAATCCCACAATTTGGTCCCATAAATCGGAAACTTAAAATCTAAAATTTATTTTTGATTTATTGTACGAAGTGTTGACGACAGACGGACGGACAGACGGGCGTACAACGGCATACCATAATACGTACCGTATTTGGAGACGGGCCGTATAAAAATGACTGACATGCGCACAGCAATGCAAAGACATTTATAAATGTTTTACAACGTTTCATAAACCATCAAAGAAAAAAACATTAAAATAAAAAAAAATTGAAAATACTGTCTTCACTGAGGTGGTATTTTTGAACGCGGAGTATCAACTTGGATAAGGCTAAAACGCCTGCTGTGATTTTCAAACGTGTCGACTATTATAGTAAGTGACTTTTTCTTCAAATTAGAAGAAATCTGGAAGATTTTAAAAGGTTATCTATTGGACTAGTAAGACTCGATAAGCATCTACATAAATTGTGGGGCATGACCGAAACACTCAAAAAGTATCTGGTCACAGCTTGGAGTATGGACGTAACTCGATCAATATATGATCATATTCTGGAGCATTTACGCAAGACTTAAAAAACAACCTTTTAAAACCGTGAGATATGAAGCATTTGTTAAAATGGTAGAAAATTACCCCCCCCCCCCCCCCAAAAAAAAAATAAATAAATAAATAAACACCAAAAGACTAAAAAAGCATCTGTTGAAATCGTAAAGCATGATTGACAATTGATTAAACGTGTAATGTACATTCATGTTGCATTTGAAAAGTAAAAAGAGATTAAACATACATACCTATTTCGTAGATCGTCTAATTCTTCGTTTTTCTGTTTTAGTTCATTCTGCATCTGCGCAAACTGATCCTTTAGAGCCTCACACTCTCGAGTTTTTCTTTCATAAAAATCACTACTTTTAATCAAATCATTACCAATGCTTTCTAATTCTTCGTTTTTCTGTTTTAGTTCATTCTGCATCTGCGCAAACTGATCCTTTAGAGCCTCACACTCTCGAGTTTTTCTTTCATTAAAATCACTACTTTTAATCAAATCATTACCAATGCTTTCTAATTCTTCGTTTTTCTGTTGTTTTTCTGCTCTAACTTTTATAAGTTCATTTGTTAATGTATCTTTCTCGTACAGAAGTTCTTCCTTTAGCTTTTGAAGTTCCTCCCTTTCAAGTTTGTCTTCTTTCTTGGTTTTCTGGTGACCTTTTTGCTCCTCAATAAGTTGATTTTGTACGGTTTCTAATTCTTCGTTTTTCTGTTGTTTTTCCGTTCTAACTGTGATAAGTTCATTTGCTAATGTATCTTTCTCGGACAGAAGTTCTTCCTTCAGCTTTTGAAGTTCCTCCCTTTCAAGTCTTTCTTCTTTCTTGGTTTTCTGGTAAGCTTTTTGCTCCTCAATAAGTTGATTTTGTACGGTTTTTAATTCTTGTAAAAGTTCCTCTGACTTTGTACCTTTTTCGTTTGGAACTTCTTCTTCCCCATCTTTCATTACTGTTTTTTCGTACTTATCTTCGTCGTTTGTTCTTTTGTAGTCATTTTGAAACTTTTTCTCATTTTCCACAATTGTTTCTTTCAGTTTTGTAATTTCTGAATGAGCTTTTCGCAATTTCTCTTCTAAAAATTCGATTTCCATTGATCGCTTTTTCGTTTCTATCTTTTCGTGTGTCTCCGTTTCCTTGTGACTGTTTAAATCCTGTTCTAACTTTCGATTGTTGTCTTTCAGGGTCTCTATTAAATTATCTCTCACGGTGTTTTCTTTTATCAATATTGCTTTTTCTTCTTGTTGTTTGGATAGTTCTTCTTTCAATCTATAAACCAATAATTCATTTTATGAAGTGTAAACATCACTTCTTTATAAGGACATAATTAATGCTATATATCTCTTTAATAGCTCTTATTTCTTATTTATAATGAAAATAACACATTATCAGAAAAAAAAATGTTCTTGCGTCCAAAGCGCTTTTCAACAACAACTTCTAGATTTAAAGGTTATAGGGTGATTAAAATTTTTAAATTCTCACTGATAATAAAAAAAATCTTGACTACTTCTACAGTATTAACCGACCAAATCAAAAAGGGAGAAATAAATTTAATTTCAAATTGCACTATTGCATAACAGAATCGACACTTTAACCAGTGTGCATATGTACACGAATTACAGTCAGAACATAAACTCTTATTTTGAAGTATGCGACAAACTCAGAAATTAACTCACTTCTTTGCACTTTCCTGTAGTTCAGTAATTTCTACCGGTGTCATTATTTCATCTCCGTTCTGGCCACTGTGATAGAATTGAAAGTACAATGTAAAAATGGAATTAATTCACACAATCCTCACTAAAATTTAAGGCATAACAGATTCGTGGGTATTTTTTGAGTTTTTAACAAAATTAATGCGTATTTTTTAACATTTATTTATGATTGTCTGAAGATGGAACATGCTCATTTTATTTTACAAAATTTAGTATCTTTTAGATATAATCTAATTGAAATTGGTGATTATTGATTATGGTCTATAATTTAACCACTTACATAAATGCAAAATATTTTCAAAAGGATGTAAATCTACAACAACAAAAATTGCGCATGGGGTAAGGCAGACAAACTGTTTTTATTTTAAGGACATAGCTATAGCATTTACGAAAAATCTTTTAAAATAAGAAGGCTATGTTTATTTCAAATTTGAATGAGTTTCAAAAACGTTTCTACTCAGACCTTGTGAATGAAGAGAATGCGGCTGCAAAATTTGAACTACATCTACTCTTGACGATCTTTATATTTTATATATATTATAAACCTCTCATGTCGAAACTGTATACTCGTATTAACTATTAATAAACTAGTATGATTAGACTCGGCATACCAAAACACAGTTTATCGCTTTTTGTCCTTTTCCAACAAGCTGAGACAGTAGGAAATGTGTGGCCATATGTTAACATTGCATTGGCGTAGATTTCGCACTATAAAATAATTTATTTTTCCAACTAATATAAAAATAAAACTAAATGTCCGTTTCCAAGCAGTAGGAAATTTGTGGCCATTTGTTAACATTGCATTGGCGTACATTTCGCACTATAAAATAATTAATATTCCAAACTAATATGGAAAAAAAACTAAATCCGAAAATAAGGTCAACATACAAAATAATTTGATGCGTATATATTACCTAAAACATTAATGCAAATATCAACAACCGTATGTAGTAATCTGCCTAAAACGGATACTGTAAATTCAGAAATTATTGCGTGCATTTATTATTGCGATTTTGTCATTTTAGACTAAAATGCGATTTTAATTTTTGCGATATTGAGAAAAATCCTGTTTAATTCAGATAATAATTTTCAAAATGCGTGTTTAAATTATTGCGATTATAACCATGTCGCATTATTCGCAATAATAAAAAACATCGCAATAATTTCTGAATCATATACAGTTTTATAAATCAACAACCGCAACCTTAAAGACGAACAATATATCAATGTCGACCTAATTTATTGTATAACAATATCGGCAAATTCAACGACGGAAAATAAAGTTTTAAATTTCTATGGATTTTTATCAGGAGTGTGAAGAAATGGAAATGTGACATTGAGAAAGTATTTAAGTAACGATCAAAAACTGAAAGACATTTACCGGTCAACCTACGGCCTAAAAATGGGTGTCAAAACATACCATGGCTCTGCAATCGCCCCGATTCTACAAAAAATGTTCTGAGACTATCAAAGTTCTATCCTCTATCGTCATCAAATTATTCCTTTAACAAAGAAAACCAGATATGAACAGGGCAAGCAATGACGAAGTTTTAACTTTGTATATGCATATAAACATACGGTAGCCAAAGAAAAGTTTGAAACAAATTTGGACAGTATTATACTAGAAAACTCCCCGAACTCAAAAACGTATTGGAAACTTATGAAAATGTTGATTAAATCAAATAAAAATTCGGACAACATGTATACCCCCTCTCCAAAATATTATAAATGATAATGGACTAAACGATGTCGTATATGAAGATGAGGAAAAATGCAGCTTATTAAACAAATATTTTAGTATGATTTCAAAACTTGATGAAGAACATGTAAATTTACCCGAATTTAAAACAAAAACTGATAGTAAATTTTCGGAAATCAAAATAAATACACAAGAATTCATAGATATTATCCAGATATCAGATCCAAACAAGGCATCAGGCCCAGATGTGATCAGCCATAAAATGCTCAAGTTATGTCCGGAAAAGGTTGCAGTTCCGCTAAACATTATATTCAAAAAATCTTTAAGAGAAGGCAAATATCCAACCAGTTGGAAGATAGCTAATTTAATACCTATTTTCAAAAAGGGGGATTCATCCTTGCCTTCAAATTACAGACCAATTTCTCTTATTAGTTGTGTTGGAAAAGTAATGGAAAGAGTTGTTTTAAGCACTTGTATAACCATCTACACGCTAACAAATTAATTTATGAATATCAATCCGGATTTCTTCCCAAAAATTCAACTGTCCATCAACTTTTAGAAATATACAACTGCATCTTAAACTCTTTGGAAAAAAAAGAAATAAACTGTTTTGTATTCTGTGATTTCTCTAAAGCGTTTGACAAAGTTTGGCATAGAGGTCTTATTCACAAACTGAAAGCCTATGGTATTGATGGAACCTTATTACATTGGTTTGAAGATTATCTGCATGACAGGAAACAAAGAGTAGTACTGAATAATTCGTCCTCCTCCTTTTGTAATGTGTCAGCAGGTGTACCCCAGGGATCTGTTTTAGGCCCTCTTCTCTTTGTTTTATATATTAATGATATTGCTGATAAGCTTACATCGCTGTGTAGGCTATTTGTAGACGACACTTCATTCAGTTATTCCGGTAGCGATGGTGAACAGATTAAATCTGTGATCGACCGCGACCTGAAAAAACTGGATGTTGGGTCAACTAAATGGCTTATGTCATTTAATCCTGATAAAACAGAAATTATGATATTTTCAAATATTGAGATACCAGATCTCAACTTTTCCCTAAATGATAAAACTATCCCTATAAATACATCGCATAAGCACCTGGGAGTTATCTTTAGTTGTGACGCAAAATGGAACAATCATATTGAAAGTATAATTACAAGTGTAAAGAAACACCTTAATGTTCTGCGTAAACTTAAATATCGACTGTCTCGTAATAACTTAGAAAAACTTTATCTAGTTTTTATTAGACCCATTTTTGAATATGCCACGGAAGTGTGGGATAATTGTGGGATATGTTATTCAAATAAATTAGAAAATTTGCAATTGGAAGCCGCAAGAATTGTAACAGGTCTACCAATCTTCACTAAAACTGATACTCTGTACTCTGAGGTTGGCTGGGAATCTTTATATGAAAGACGAAGAAGAAGAAAATTACAGATGTTTTATAATATAAATAAAAAACATGCACCTGAGTATCTGTGTAATCTTGTCCCCCCGTGTATACAAAGTACAACCAACTATCCGTTGCGAAACGGTCAAAATATCATTGTTCCATTTTGTAGACTTTCCCTTACCACTGAATCTTTTATTCCATCCACAATACGAGAATGGAATAAGCTTGACTTAAAAATTCGACTTAAAAATTCGAAACACCGACTCTTATATCTAAATTTAAGAGAGAATTGAAAAATGAAAGTGTTCAGAGTAGAGTTGCGCCGTATTATATGTACGGTCCGAGGAAACTGAATATTATTTTAACTCAATTGCGATGTTCCGCTTCATTTTTAAACTCTGACCTTTTCAAAGCTAACATTATACTGGATCCTTCGTGTCAGTGTGGTTATAAGAAGATGTGGTATGAGTGCCAATGAGACAACTGGGTCTGATATTGAGGATGTTCATCACTTTCTTTTAGTTTGCCCAAAATACACTACATGTAGAGAAATTTTACTTAACAATCTTAATTGGCTTACTGGAAACTTTATTATTGATACTAAACTATTAACTTGCGGAGATCTGGAACTCTCGAATGAACAAAATCTCCTAATTTTCAAACATGTTCAAGATTTTATTAAAAGGTCTAACAGATTTCTAGTACCCTTCATAAACTATTATTGCTACTGGCACGGATGATCATCACCATCAAAAACCTAAGTCAACATCACAGAAAATATAATTTGCTTCTTTTTCTTTTCCTCCTTTTCCATTCTTCTTGTTCTTTTTTTCTTTTTATTTATAGTTCGTATAATATTTAATGAATTTGTTAGCTTTACATGCATGCTCATAATGTTATTATTGTATATATACTTGTATTGTAATATGGAGAAGACTTCATAAGTATGATTTACTTGTGTCTCATCCATTTGCTGATATTTAGCAAATACAATATTTTTAAACTAAACATACGGTGTTGTTCAGTCTCTACCTTCCTCAGGGAAATACAAATACCATATAATTATTTACATCCAACAATGTCATAGTGGTTGCCACATATAAAATTTATGGCAGATCAGATGCATGTAACTTACTCTGAACGTTTTCTTTTATTACTTTTGCTTTTTGGATCTTGTCCTTTCACTGGTGTTGTCCAACCCTGCAAAGAGAATGTAGAAATATATTATAATAATTTATCATAATGCAACTACAATCCTATCTGTCAATGCAGAAACGTTTTCACGTGAACAAAGAGAGAGAGAGAGAGAGAGAGAGAGAGAGAGAGAGAGAGAGAGAGGAGAGAGAAGAGAGAGAGAGAGAGAGAGAGAGAGAGAGAGAGAGAGGAGAGAGAGAGAGAGAGAGAGAGAGAGAGAGAGAGAGAGAGAGAGTAGATACCAAAGTGAACAATCGTATTTAGCATTAGTCTAATAAAAGCGACAACGTCTTAGTCAAAATAAAACGACGAAAGAACAAACAAAAATATCAAAATTTTACATAACAACTAAAAACTGAGCAACACAAACCCCCATAAAATATTGGAGACGAACTAATGTGTTTCGGAGAAGCAAGCAGTTCCTGCTCCAGATGTGGTACTCGTCATGTTGCTCAAGCAATTAAAAATCCGATATTGGTAATGTGACAATTGAGGGAAGTATGATAGGATTATGGTTACGATAAGTGGAACAAATCCATGGTCATATGTGACACGGGTATTCCATTACGAACAACCCAAATCATGATCGCGCGCGAAAAAACTTTCGAAAGGGTGACTTCAATTGAACACATTTCGAATGTTAATTGTAGGCTTATTACATGTAAAAGACAGTGTTTTACTGTGAAAGAGGACGAATTTAGTATCATTAATACTAGAACAAATGTGTTGGAAATCGTATGATATTTACGATGTTTTACAAAAAAAAACCAGAAAAAAAACAAAAAACCGAAAAGGCTAAATACTAAACATAAGCTTGCAAGATCATGAATTTACATTGATTAAAAACTATACAGAAAGATTAATAATACGTCATAAACTAACTTTACTCATTTTCCATTGTGGGTAATTATTTTGAAAAAAAATACCTGAAAAATCTGTTGAAATTCTTCAAAATTTTTCTTTACGTCTTTATTTCCAAGAACACTCTTTGACGACTTCTGAATGGATGCTGCCAAATCATAAAGCGCTTTGGGAAGTTTTAACTCCTCATAAAAACCAGGAAGTATTTTTTCTATCTTATTTGTTATTTTTTAATTTCTCAGCACTGTTTGATAGTTCCGATGCTGTATCCATGGCTTCGGGTGTTACCGGTGCCTTGGTTCTTGGAGATTGTCGTGTCGCTTTTGTTGGTGTCTTTTCAGGCGATTTACCCTTCTTTCTTCCTTTACCACTCATTCTTAAAAAAATATAGAAATTTTTGCAAGACATATTGTTATTTTCAAAGATGGAAGATACATAAGGGGCTGGATAGGAATTACATAATAGAGAATAATGGGCCAATACTACAGAAAAAAGGACAAACAAATAAATTAAAGTAAAACTTAAGCTAAACAAAAAGGAATACAGAATAATGAGCAAATACGATGAAGAATAAAGAGAAAATTGCTTAAAATTAAAAAAAAAATACAGAAAAGAAGGACACCCCCTTCCAGACCCCCATAAAGTATGTTAAGAAGGATGTTCGCTACTCTTATTTTTGACTTTTTGTCAGATATTCAGAATCCTCTAGTTTTATCCATGTTAGTGCCAATAAAAAATTGGCCCGCTAACCCCTATTTTTCTTTTCATAATTTTATTATATATAGTTTAAATAGCCATATTTGAAAATGCTATAAAATCCTTATTATTTTTTCATAATTTTTTAAAGAAAAAGGGTGCCAATGTTAAATGTATGAAAAGTCTAGAGAGAATTATATCCCGCCAAGTTTTCAATGGCTTACATCTCGAAAAGAAGCACACTGACCCTTTATTTTTTTCTACTTTTTTAGTTCTTTTATTTATATACTATCAGTTTATAACAGTCTTTTAAAAAGCTTGTTATTTTGAAACAGAGTAGCGAACATCCTTTAATACGGTGGATGTTTTTAGTCATTGGAGTTCCAGTGACAGGTGCTAGACTAGTCCGTATAATAGTGTGTACTATGCACATATTTTTTTTTCAATGTTCGTGATAAAAAAATATTACTAATTGTATGTTAGTTTAGGAACAACAGAGACATATGGCTCTTGAAACAAGATGGTAAAATAGATTCTTTAGTAATCGTTATTTTACCGCGGCAAGACCCATGCTTCTGTTTGCTAGTATTGATTGATTGATGTTTCTTTCAGTACAATCGGCTATATTATATATCATGGTGTGCATAGTCAGTTTTTAATGGTGGACAAAGTCGGAGTACCTGCATAGAACAAACTGTTGCAGGCAGGAATACTTGCAATCCTAGTCAGTCAACACAGGAATCTAACGTTGCTGAAGAGGGGTTCAAATAAAAAAACTCCCAAAAGATACCAGATTTATAATTTTGAACGCCCGTCGCGCGTTTGATCTTCAAAAGACTCATCACTGTCTTTCGAATCAAAATGTTAAAAGGCCAAATCAAGTACAAAGTTGAAGAGCATTGAGGCCTCAAATTTGAAAGGTTTTGCCAAATAAAGATAAGGTAATATATTCCTAGGGTATGAAATAGCTAGCATTTCGAATAATTAAAAGCTTTCCAAACAATTAATTTATAATTATGACCTTCTTATCAATAATAACGCATGTCAACAATGAAGTCTTGTCGAACTCACACCCTCTGTGCTGACAGGCTAGTAATCACTACAGATGAACTACTAAGACCATTCGGCCATCGAGTCCCTATTAATATATTGACCACTGTGACTTCCAAATAGCTAGTAAACGATGTCATGGTCAGCCATCCCCAAACCAGTACGTAAACTAACATTGTTCATTAAATTCTTGCCCACTTGTATACCTATTTAGCATGCTTCATTCCCGGAAATGTATTGGTGTGTTAAGTTATCTACCAAGATGTATGGCTATGCCCTGTGATTGTTTTTCTTGTTATAATAGTATCCTTGCTAGCACAACGGGGATGTGCGGTGATTGTTGTAACCATTTAATCGTCCGTCCGTTCGTTCGCACTTTGTAACCTTCTCCTTCTGAACCACTGTTCGATTTTTTTCATATGTACTTGGGGAAAGGACAATTTGTTTTAGTCCTCCCCTTTTTTCAAAATCCGATATTTCTTTTAATTTCTTTTAATATCAATTATTTTCGCGTTTTTCTGGGTTACATTAACATATATATACCAGAAATAACATGTATTTGCTATATTTGATCAATTCTTAGTTTACTATCCACATCGGTCACTGCTTTCCAAAATTTTACTGTATTATTATCAAAGATTATAAAGAAATGTAATCAAAAATGCTAGTTTTCATATTGCATAATATATTATTATACAGGTGAATTTTGTTAATAAGAACAGTTTAACTTTGAAGAAAAATACGCTGAAATTAAGCCGTTCGTTTCCTTGTTTGAAATGTTTTGCATTTTGTCATATCGGACCCATTACTGCTTACTTTAGGGGATTGCTGAAGGTCGTACGGTGATATGTACCTTACAGCTACGTCATTATGTCTCTTATCGATAGTCGTTAGCAATTACACCACATCTTATTTTTAAATGAATAAAAAAGGAGGAAGGAAAAAGTGCTACCAGTAAACTAAAATGACAATAGATAACAATGTAGTCATTTTATAAGGCTGTTGTTTTAATGTACACATTGTCATTATTTTACTAACATTCAGTGTGTAAACCGGGTTGGCAAGTCTTTCAGTATCATTTTCAAAGTCACATTAACTATGGGTTGTGATATTACTTTTCTTTTAAGTTTTTATATGCTTTATGACTTATATAAACGTAAGGAGATATAGCATGATTACCAATAATACAACTATATCCACCGGAGTCCAAATGGTTGAAACAAAAACAAAAATAATATTTAATTGTTTTTGTCTAAATTGTAGCAAACAGTTTAACTGTTTGGATAGATTAAAGAGATATGACACGCTTTTGTGATATGGGATATAGGGGGTAAAAAATTAGGAATGTGGGATATAAGGGGTAAAAAAATGGGGATGTGGGATATCGAGGGTAAAGTAGTTGAATCTAGGAAAAAGAAGGGGGAGTGGGAAGTGGGAAAATAATATAAAAAAGCGGGAAATGGGAAATGAGCGCACCCGTGTCACCCTCCTCAGATTTGTCAAATATTTTGAATAAAGGAAGACAACTGTACTTGTTCAATTATACAAATACAATGTACAACATTTCTAATTCTGTTTTGAGAAGGTGTAGTACTCGTACATTTCTTAATCTATAAAATATGTACTTTATCCAAATTCTTCAGTTCTATTAGATTACACTATTTTCAAACTCCTTTAATTACACGATTCTCTCCATTAACTCCAGGCAACCTAAACACTTGCTATAAAGTATATAATTAAGTGTGTACACAGAATAAAATATAGTTGATATAAGATACACACAAAAGTAAAATAAGGTAACACACGTACTTGAGAATTGTTGGTCCAAGTTTTTGTCAAATAAGTTTCAAGTCCATATGAAAGCTACTTTCTGTTTCGCAAAGGCTAGCGTCATTTGTAATAACCTTCCTTGTCATGTTCATTTAAATGTTTAAAACTTAATAAAAATTAGGCCAAATGAATTGTACACTTTGTTAAGGATAGGTGGATGTTTGTACATGTTATGGTCTGTACATTTGAAAATCTTTCAACCATAATCGTGTTTTATGTGATGCGAATAAGAAGAATGATATTGAATTTTCCAATTAAGGGCCTTGCTGGGCAACATGACATTCACGTTATTAGATACATCTCAAACTGTGAATCATGTGAATGTTATGGCCGGATCAATATTTTTTTTTTTATCATAGGCTTGTAGAGATAAAGATTGTTGTAAAGCTTTTCTACGATACCTATTTGTTAAATATAAATTATATTTACCCAATCAAAATTTAAACAAACTGAAATTCAACTTAACGTCAATTTTGATTGATGTATATTTATATAATTGGCTTATTCAAAAACAAAAGTTTTTATTGAACATACTGTTATACCGAAGATGCAGGATAGCTTTAAAAGAATAAAGGGTTAACATATTAGCTATTATTTGGCCCTGAAACTGTAAACATAGTGCAATTCTCCAATGTGAAATAAAAAGATTTTATAAGAAAATGAATAGGATTTGAAAATGTTTAAATTACCAAAGTAAAGTAAAGTCTTTGTAAGTTGTCTTAATGTGTAAAAGTAGAATTACGTATACATAAAAGTCAAAATTCAAATCTAACATTTCAGGTGTCTATTTTATAACAGCCTTATGTCTGGTGCTCGAGGTCTGGTGACCAACTTCAGAAACTTCAGAAACATGGATGTTTGACTGATTTCTCAGTATTTTGAACTCAAAAGGGTCTAAAGTTTCCTTAGCATACTGTAACCCGGAGACTGGCTACTGGAATGATGATGATAACGAAGTAGTTGTCAGAAGTTGGCGATGCCAACGATAGATAACAAAACATTTTTTTTTTTGCGGGGGGGGGGGGGGGGGGGTGGGGGGCTGTTATTTCGACGAAGTTTGTTGTTGGTGGTTTCATTGATTTGCTCTCTTGTTCTCACATCATAATCTAACGTAGTTCAAACTTCCTGTATTTTTTTTTTGTGTATTATGGCAATATGTTAAAATACGATAGCCAACAAATCAATAAAACATCATAGGACTTAATGTTTGTCAAGGATTTATATAGATATAGTAAGATGTGGTATGAGTGCCAATGAGACAACTCTCCATCCAAGTAACAATTTATAAAAGTAAACCATTATAGGTCAAGGTACGGCCTTCAACACGGAGCATTGGCTCACACCGAACAGCTTGAAGCTATAAAGGGCCCCAAAAAATTACTAGTGTAAAACCATATATGAATGGATTGAACTACCCTCCAAAACTCTATAACAAAAGTGTGATATTATACCAGAGACATCCGTATATGTCTCCATTTTACAGGCTATCGTGAGAAATTGGCTCAGATTTTTTATGCAATCACACTTTTTTTAAGAATTTCTGCGTGGGTAATTTCTCAGAATTGATTTTTTTGTTTTTTTTTTAAATTTTATTTTGTGTGATTGTGTGACTCCATATCATTAGCCTAAATATGTCTCTGGCCTAATAAAATGTTTTATTATAATAAGTATTTTCGTGATTTCGGCCTTCAACTGAAATAAGTTCGTTGTTGTATATTTTCAAGAGAAACTTACGATCGGGGCTGAGCTATATTTTTGTACCGGAAGTTAATTATTCCGCCATATTCAAATAACAAAACTTGTCTTGGCATGTTCCTCAATGACAACAAACGGTGCTGTGGCCGATTAAAGGAATCTGGCGAGATGTTTTGATGTTTGCCACTTGAACCTTATTTCGTTGTGAAAACCGAAAGTGTAAGAAATGAAATTACCATGAGAAAACACCCTCGAAAATAGATCTACACCCAAAATCATGTTGAACCCGATCATTGACAGTAGATCTTCCATAAAGGCACAGGAGTTTGAAATCCTAGCAACAAAGGTGTATAAATATGCCAAACTCGACTATCACAGTAGACCTTCTCTCGCTTCTCTCTTCGAGAGAAGCTCTACTGTGATAGTCGAGTTTGGCATATTCGAGAGAAGCTCTACTGTGATAGTCGAGTTTGGCATATTTATACACCTTTATTGCTAGGATTTCAAACTATATAAATTAATAAAGCTGTCTACTGTGATAGTCGAGTTTGGCATATTTATACACCTTTATTGCTAAGATTTCAAACTCCTGTGATAGTCGAGTTTGGCATATTTATACACCTTTATTGCTAGGATTTCAAACTCCTGTGCTTCTCTCTTTGAGAGAAGCTCTACTGTGATAGTCGAGTTTGGCATATTTATACACCTTTATTGCTAGGATTTCAAACTCCTGTGATAAAGGTGTTTTTTGCAAATAGCTACGGTCAAAATGTCCGCTTCTTATATTATTTTTTAAATATGAGGAAGGTGTTACCTGGGAAAGAGTATGAAGTCTAAATGAATAACTATCTATGTACTGTTTTTTGTTGCAAAATTAAAACTACAGTAAATGACTTAATCTTAAAATATAATATTAGGCCATCAATTTTGACATTACAAGAAGTCACTGTCATTTAAAAACAATCAGTTACTTTGGAGATACCCTGCATCATGATATTAGCTTTATGACTGAGGGCTACACTATGAATAACTTACATTGACTTACATAAAACCAAAAAATGCAGATTTTAGAATAACATTATCGTAAAAAAATGCAGATTTTAAAATGACAATATCGTACAAAGATACAGGATCATACATAGCAATACACCTTATCGCTATTTATCCTCCATTACTGGACATCACAAAGGTTCCCGTAAAATTTTGACGTTACAATAGAAAATATCTGACGCCACAATGGAAAAGTGATTGTTGTATGATGTCAAAAGTTCAACCAGCGCAGATTCTTGGGTCAACCGTCACAGATTTCCAAATAGCGATAAGGTGTATTAAAAAAACACTTTATTTCCATTATCATTTGTAGACCTGAGTGATACTTTATCATGTTTATTCAAACAATAGTATGTTGAGGTTTTACATATTTTGTTGGAAGACTAATTTTCTCAATGCAATGCTGAAATGACAAGAAAATTGATGTCATGTCAAAATCAGAAATTATCATATATTGAATAGAGCATGTCATACAAATAACATACCAAATAGTCATCAAATAAAGCTGGAGATGTAACATTTCCTTCTATATATATATTTATATAAAGCTTAATATTAACAAACCAATTCCTGCCCACAATATTGAATTATAAAGTTTGGGCAAAATGAATCAGAATGAACAGGAATCCAGTGAAATGGCTTTGGTGCGAAAAGGAATCTGGACAAAAGGACACTGATTTTGTTGAAAAAGTCACTGAAAATCAGAAATACTCCCTATTTGCAACCTAAAACAAACCCTAAATCTTTAGTAATTTAAGGCGGTTTGGCTGATTTGTGATTTAAAATTCACAGCTGTTCCTAATTCGTTATCCCAAATAAAGATTGGTGTTGGCACCCATCAAATCCTTTATAAAAATGCTATTCTATTGTTATAAAATCTTAACTTCAAACATTTCGGTCAATTTCCAGAAAATTTTGCATTAATCATGATAATTGATAAACGTGACTGACGTAAATTACTATCATGACTATCATAAACTGAGCATGCTAAATTAACATACAAAGTCAGAATTCTCACTTAAGATTTTTGTGAGTGCAGGGACACACCATTTTTGACCATGGCAAGTCAAGCAATCAAAATAAGAAATGTTACTTATTGCTATTCAATTTATTATTTAAGTCTAGCAAGAAAAGTAAACTTTTGCTATAAGCGGATGATATCTGTTCTCAATTGATACAGTATTTTACATGTACAATCTTGATGCATCCTTGGACTCACCAGTTTTGAAAATAATGAGTTCAGGACTCATGGACTCCCCTTAGTGAAAACCCTGCAGCCCTCAAAGTAGGTTAAAAGACCAGGTTGCCTTTTGGCCACCAGATATAAAATTTCAGTAGTCAATTCAAAATTTTAGTGGCCAGGAAATAATTTCAGGTCGCCTAAGAAATTTGTTATGAAAGTCTAGTCAGTAGAGCTAATGAAGACTAGTAAAAAACAGCATATCAATAAATTTTCTATTATATAGAATAGTAGACATAAAATAAGTTAGTTTTAGTTCAAAGCAAATATTGCTTATAGTTAACCGTTGTATATCTTTTGTTCTGATCTTATTTACTATACCTAAGTTAAATCATCATTGATTAAAGAAACACAATGACCAAACCATGAGCTGTTTTGGAATGTTCTTATAAATTTTCCAGTACCACTTGAAGTTGTTGCCACGATTTTACGCTTAATCGTAACATTAGAAGATGTACTTGGCTCTTGATCAGAAGCCAGAGTTTCTATAGAGGAACTCTCTGCCCCTTCTTTTTTTTTCTTAGCTGGTAAAACATTGTTGTTTTGGGTAGTTTGAAAAATCCGGACAACAACATATGTTTGGCTGCCATGATGTATTGGCCCCGAAAACACTTCATCAGACGCTGGAATTCCCAGTTAAGTTAAGCGCTTTATAGACCCCGTTAAGATTAAAAATGCTTGAAATCATATTCAAGATTAAGCATACATTCAAGCGCTCGTATGACTGTGAATAAAACTTAATAAAATACGACCGGAGGCAGGTTGATTATTCAGAATTTTACGGTCGCCAGGTCCAAATAGTACCAGTCGCCAAATGGCAACCAATAATGAAATTAAGGTTGCCTGGAGGCTTTGTATGTTGCCCAGGCGACTGTTTTAATAGCCTAAATTGAGGGCTGCCCTAAAAAGGTCTACAGCACTTACAGACAGGCATGGGGTAATGCAAATTTGTAATTGTAATGCATGGTAATGCATTACATTTTTCCAAGTAATTGCATGTAATGTGTAATGCAGCAATTTGTGCATTACATATGCATGTAATTGTAATATAATGCATTACTTTAGCAAAAAGTTGTGTAATTTCATGCATTACATGGCATTACATGTCATTACTTTTTTCACATACCACATCTTTAAGATATTGTTGGAGTTTTAACTAAACCAAATTTAAGATTTCTTGATTAACTAGGAATATGTTAATCATGAGAATATATTCTTTATTTTATCTTATTTCATACATTTTCCTGCATAAAAAGATTGATATTTGAAAAGCATAACTGTATTGTTGTCATAAGATCAAAGAATATCTTGTCTTGCTTAAATAAAAGATAATTAAACTTTGTTATAAAACACTAATTAGTTTGTTTTACAATCAATATTTTCACCATTTAGACAATTGTTCATTAATTAAGGTCTATGTTTATTTTATAATTAGGGAAGTTATTCACAGTAATTAAATATTTCGTTTAAAATAAAAAAAAAACAACAAAGAGTATATTGATAAAAGTAAAGTCAACATTAAATTAAAATTGTAAAAGCCGAATTAAATAGACTTTTTACATGTATACTTATATTCAATTCATGGAACAGTTGCTGCATATGCTAGAATCTTTTGTGACTTCTAGTTGTTTTTCAAGATGTTTAATTTTTCTATTCACTTAATAAAATTTTCAAATGTAATGTGTAATTCAAGGCATTACTTTGCAAAAGTAATTGTAATATAATGCATTACTTTGATAAATGCATGTAATTGTAATTGTAATATAATGCATGGTTTGGTCAAAGTAATTGTAATATAATGCATTACATTGCAATGTAATTCGCCCCATGCCTGCTTACAGATATGGATAGCTGTGCAAGGCATTCAAAAATTGCTCCTTGGGGCTTGTAAATAAGCAGTATTTTGAAGATAACAGATAAATGAGATTTTCATTGTCCATGAAAATATACATAATAAATTTCTGATTATGACTAGTAAAGACAATTTAACATTCTATTAAAGCAATGTAGGGCAAGAGAAATAAAAAAAAAAAAGAAAACAAGAATTTTTAACTTATACATGTACATGATGTATAACATGTATAATTAAAAAAATCTAAAAGTCTGAGGGATATAACTCTACCTCCAAAATAATTAATCTGTAGGCTGTAACACTGAATAAAAAAAATTGTGTATAAGTTACCCCTGACTAAATTTAGGATGCATTTATCAGGATTTTTATTTCCTTTAGATATATATTCCAGACCACTCATGATAGAATGATTACTTGTTTTTGCCATATGCGTCTTTAAGATACAACCTTGTCAAGATATGCTTCAGGAACTACTTAGTACTTAGGGCTGTTCCATAAAAATATACATGGTACCCATGGAAGGCACTTTCATAATGGGAAGGGCTCGACATTAACGTTTGTCCCATTGTCCGGGACAAGTGGACATAGGCGTCGGACAAGTAGAATCACCAAATTAGTTGTCCGACGTCACAAGTGAAAAATCCATGATATAAAACATATAAAACTTTCAAGACTTACAAATGCCTAAAACATGGACTATTTTTTTTTATTGATCATACGAAATCTAAATTCATTGATTGCACCAGGAGAATATAAGTAAGGGGAGTGAAATCAATGATAAAACATGCTTACTGATGTAAATTTTCATATAAAAAGAGATAAGTCCAGAGAGATCCGGGTCGCTGGAATCGCAATCTTTGATATGTTTAAATAGTTGGAATTCGCAAGGCATTTTTAAACACATATTATTTGTTTACCATATTGATTGATAGACGAAATCAAAGAAAAAATTGATTTAAGAAAATTTGGATTCATTGTTGCAGTAGCACCCATATGACTACAGAATGGATAGGTTCCATTATCCTCATTTCTCCCCCAACAGGGAAATTTGATATAACCAGTTCATTTCCAGTGCGTTTTAATATGTTATCTATCTATAAATAAAAGACAGATTTCAGTCATTTCTGTAATCTCGAACGACAATGTTTTATAGATTATGGGGACATTTGAGGATCCGTATACATAAGACAGTATTTTAAGGTTTTGAGTGAAATTTTAGGATCAGTATATGTTTTTGTCAAAATGATTTGGGCAGTGATGATAATTGAATCAATCCTTAACTCCACACATGATAGTGTTAGTTCTGACAAGTTGATTTTTATGGACAAGTTAAAAAAAAGATAATGTAGAGGCCTGATGGGGAGACAAATTCAGAATTTCAATTACATTTCCACTGTACTTGGCACCTACCCATAGTAGAGATTTCAAAATGTCTTCCCTGAGTCCCATGTATGTTTTTATGGAACAGCCCTTACCGAATCACACATCTACAGCACTATAATCCCATATTGATCACTGTTCATTTATTTAATAAGGGCATCATCTTTGTCAATTTTTTTCATTATGATTCCTTGTATTTCAGTTCAAACATGGCAGACAAGACTTCAGCACAGGCACAGCAGAAATTCACCAATTTACGTAAGAGGTTGGACCAGCTTGGGTACCGTCAGACGCTAGGATTGGAATCTTTGCCCTTGGTGGAAAAATTGTTTGCTGACCTGGTCCACACTACTGACAGTCTGAAAAATGCCAAACTAGAGTTAGGAAAGCAGACGACAGAATCAAATGATGTAGAAAGTGCAATAGAACCTTATAAAAGTGACAATGCTAAACTTGTGAAAGAAAATAATGACCTTCATCAACAGCTTATCAAACAGAAAGATGAATCAGATGCTATAGTTAAGGGTAAATATAAGATTGAAAGGGGAGATAATTTGAAAAGAAAAGGGAGATAATTTGAAAAAAATTGATTGATTGTTGTTAGCTTTACATCCAATGGCAAATAAAAATAAAATAGTTGATCGCGATCCACAGTATGACTATGTGTTAAGATGAATAAAAGTAATGAGACATAGGATGGTGTTTGTCAATGAGATATCAACCCACAACACAAAAAATGGAATGTTATTGACTCATTTAGAGGTCAATATACAGTCTCCAACAAACGGCAAATGCCTACACAAGTTGTCAAGCTCATGAATGTTGTGTTTTCCACATTTCATGGCATTTAAATATAATTATAAGAATTGAATGCTTCTTTTTTTGGTAATTTTATAGGGTTGTAAAAGCGTTGATCATGCACATACTTTCAGTATGAAGTTATCAGTGCTTCATACAAAATGTGCTTTGGTCAACACTTTTAATACCCCATTCATGAATGAAATTATAAATAACAGTATAAATACAAAGAAACAATGCAATTACACCATGAACACTGCCAAAATTTTAATTTATGAGAAAAGTGTTATACATTTGCAGCACCAAATAAATCATGATAATAGATGTTTAAATATTGTAAAAAATGCTGTCACACCATCAAAAAGGAATATAAAAAGTTTAGTATTTACATTGTATATATTCTTATACATTTTTTAACCTTGCATGATTTAACCAATTTGATGGATTTATACATTCCTAGAACTAAAAGCCTCACTTAGAAAACTAGAACATGAGAATGCTGATTTGAAGTTCCTGAACAATCAATATGTACAGAAAGCCAGACAGCTTGAGAAAGAATCCAGGGAGAAATCTGATAGGATTCTTCATCTACAGGAGAAAAACTTCCATGCTGTTGTTCAGACACCAGGTAAGACATGTTCAAGAATCCAGGGAGAAATCTGATAGGATTCTCCATCTACAGGAGAAAAACTTCCATGCTGTTGTTCAGACACCAGGTAAGACATGTACAAGAATCCAGGGAGAAATCTGATAGGATTCTCCATCTACAGGAGAAAAACTTCCATGCTGTTGTTCAGACACCAGGTAAGACAAGGAAAAAAACCCACATGTTTTGAGGGTTTCCTGACCAAGCCTAAAAATAGGTCTGAAAACTTGATGGTCTTGTGTCAACTCCACTTACATTACAAAAAGGAAACAGTTGAAATTCAGTGGTCAACCAAAAATGCAAAAAAGGACTGATATCGAAGGTCAGATGATTATAAAAATTGAACTTTTAATTTGATTTAGAACAAAAACCCATTGGTTTTAAAGAATTTGAACTTAAACATGGTGCTATGAATGAAATTATTTGTAAATTGCAAGACTTATCTCTCTTTGCTTTAAATTATGTCTTGTCACAGACAATTACTTGATTATTGTTTGACATTAAGTTTTTTTTCTGGAGAGAAGGCCAAGGATTGTTTCAAATCATATTAAGATATATTTGATTTATTTTTCATATTGTACCAGTCATTGTATTATATCAGGATGTTTAATTATGTTAATTTCTCTTCCCCTGTAATTTCACGAAGAGCTGTCCAACACTCCATACATTTAACAGGGTACCCGCTGATGCGAGTTCATGAGCTCTGGACATGAAAATCTGTCTGGACTCATCATTCTCAAAACTGGTGTCTGAGGTGCATAAAGTTTGTAAAATATTGAATCAACTGAGCACACATATCATCATTTTAGAGCAAAAATTTAAAAATAAACTTATTTGTTATTTTTATTGCCCGCCGACTTAGGTTGGGGCCATATAGTGTTGCCCTTATCTGTCATTCCTCAATGAACAGTTAAACAGTCTTTTTTTCCAAACGCTTTCACATATTAAAGTTACAGATCTAGTTTACATTAGGTTCTGCTCTGCTGATTTTTGCCGAAATTGCGGGCTTTGGTCTAAAAAAAATTGTGAAAACAATAGTTATACTGACTTTTTTCTTAACACCTTCGCATATTCAGCTGATTTTTAGTAAATGATTCTACTATGATGAGTTACAGATCAAGTTTATGTTTGGTTCCGCTCCGCATATTTTTGACAAAATTACGGGCTTTAGAATATTAGGAAAAAATAACAGTTATGCCGACTTTTTTTCTAAAACCTTCACATTTTGAGCTGATTTTTAGTATTTGAGTCTACTGTGATGAGTTACAGAAAGAGTCTGCGTTTGGTTCTGCTCTGCTGATTTTTGTCGAAATTACAGGCTTTGGACTCCACTCCTAAAAATGGCTTCAAGCTTTTTTTGCAAGCAGGGCCATTCGTGCCGTTCAAACACATCTAGTTTTTGTCGAGCCTGCAACTTTTGTCGCAGAAAGCTCGACATAGGGATAGTGATCCGGCAGCGTTAGCTAACTTCTTAAAAGCTTTATATTTTAGAAGCTAGAAGACCTGGATGCTTCATACTTTGTATATAGATGCCTTATGTTACGAAGTTTCCGTCTGTCATATGTCCATTGTCCTTGACCTCATTTTCATGGTTCAGTGACTACTTGAAAAAAAGTCAACATTTTTTGTAATGTTAATTTCTTTCTTATTATGAGTAACAGGATAACTATATGTATTATGTGAGTACCTTGCAAGGTCCTCATGCCCGTCAGACAATTTTCATTTGACCTCGACCTCATTTCATGGATCAGTGAACAAGGTCAAATTTTCATGGTCAAATCCATATATCAGATACTATAAGCAGTAGGTCTACTGTATTTGGTATATGGAATGATTGTAAGGTGTACATGTCCAACTGGTAGGTGTCATCTGACCTTGACCTCATTTTCATGGTTCAGTGGTCAAAGTTAAGTTTTTGAGTTTTGGTCTTTTTTTCTAATACTATATGCAATAGGTCAACTATAAATGGTGTATGAAAATATTTTATGATGTACATGTCAGTCTCACAGGTTTTATTTGACCTTGAACTCATTTTCACGGTTCATTTCTCAGTGTTAAGTTTTTTGTGTTTTGGTCTGTTTTTCTTCAACTATAAGCAATAGATCAACTATATTTGATGTATGGAAGGATTGTAAGGTGTATATGTCGGTCTGGCAGGTATCATCTGACCTTGACCTCATTTTCATGGTTCATTGGTCAATGTTATGTTTTCATGGTTAAGTTTGTTTCTTAGATACTATAAGCAATAGGTCAACTATATTTAATGCCTAAATTGATTGTAAGGTGTACATGTCTGTCTGACATGGTTCATCTGACCTTGACCTCATTTTCATGGTTCATTGGTCAATGTTAAGTTTTCTGGTTTAAGACTGTTTCTTAGAAACAATAAGCAATAGGTCAACTATGTTTGGTTTATTGAATGATTGTAAGGTGTACATGTATTTCTCGTTTGGGTTATCTGACCTTGACCTCATTTTCTTGGATCATGTTAAGTTTGTGTTACTTGTAGTAAAGCTTTGTATTTAGGACTATCAACATAAAATCAATGGTTAGTAAAGAAGGTGAGACATTTCAGCGTGTGCACTCTTGTCTCTATTTTGTCATGGAGACTGAAATAATAAATTATTTTGCTATTAAATTTAAGGAGGCAAGAAAAAGACAATCCCCTTCAGAAGACAGAGGATGGAAATTGACACAATAGTCCCAGAATCTGATGGTCCAAGTAGACTAGTGATCCCCAATCCTGAGGACCCTTACATTGCTGATCTGCTACAAGTGGCTGATAATAGAATAGCAGAACTGGACCGTGAAATCAGGAGGCTGAATGATGAAAAAGATATTACAGAAAGAAAAGTAAAGAATTTCAGAGAACAGGTAATTGTGTTTTTTAACTGAAAATGATGCGAGAGGTCAAGGTCAAATATTGAAGATTTTCATTTTTTGATATGTGATAGTTAAATACATGAATATTTGGAGTTGCTCTACAAAAACAGAACATTTGAATGATGTTTTTTTAACTAACTTATATATATTGGAAAAAAGCAATGACATTTTAGAACATACGGTGAAACCATTTTAATGAAAATGAAGGGGAAAATCTATTTTTAAGAATTAAAGAAAAATAACATTTTAACAACCTTTGTCTTTTTAGTCCAATTTATATGTCTTTAGAAATTTTGACCTCTGTCAAAGAAAAGATCTGTTTCTCTTGCTTTCAGTTTCAGAGTGTTGTTAAAATCAACGCTTTCTGCAGAGATAATTTAAGCTAAATTTTTGCCATTTAAATATTGACATTAATTGATCGCCATCATAAACCTAAAGCTCATGCTAGTAGTAAACTTAAAGGCAACAAAAGCTTAAGGATGTACTTTGGTCAGGTTTAGAAATTTTTGTCAGATTTTCGGACTCCTTGGGTTTTTTCCTATAATACAGTGTAAAATATTTTGCCCCATATCACCCATATTTCTTTTCATAGAAGACTTCAGTAGCTCACAAAAAGGTCATTACCAAAATTTAAGCACATTCTATATTTTTTTCTTACGATTTGAGACCCAAATAATGCCAATGCTAAATAAATATGTACGGTAAAAGTCTGAGTCAGCCTTTTCACACCATTTTTAAAAAATCAAATATCGCAAAAAGGAGTTCCATAACTTATAATTTTTTTTAGCTTATTTTGTTCCTTATCTAATGCTCTTCTGACTTATGGTATCAATTTGAAATTCTAGATTTTCTTAACTTCACGTGACTACATCCTTAAGGGTTTGTAGAAATGGAATGTCTCTATTGCAGCATCCAAAAGGTTCTTGCCTTTGGTCAAGGTATCGATATATCTAATAATAGAGATTATCTCCAAACAGAATAATTTTAAAAGAAAAATTTGTATCTAGCACTTTTCATGGTTTGAGAATAAAGCCTTGCCCTTTTTATTTCATAATTGTTTTACTGGGTGTTTTTTGTCAAAGAATTATTACATTGTTCATGTTGTTAAAAACTTAAAATGGTGCATGTATTGATTTAATAAGAAACTATTCAAGTGGCTTGATACAAGGTGAGCTATTGACTAATATTATAGACCTGTTAACAACATTTACTTGTTGGACAAGAGCTAGATTGATATGACTAAGGATGAAACAAAGAATTTTTCAGATTAAAATCATTTCAAAGTATATATTCTGAGTTGATTATTAACCACATTTTCAGATTTTAATCAAACAGTAAAGATAAAGATTTTTCATTTCATATGATCTTGTTGTTAATTATTTGTATCAATGTATTCATATTTTATTGTACTAGTAGTTTATTTCACTTCTACAGAGAAATTTCTTATGTTATTGTGTTTTTTTGTTGAAATAACAAGTTTGAGGGGAGATAACTTCAATATTTTTTTTATTTACAAGTGATTCTACTGTGAATTTACCCATTTTTGTCTTACCCTTGGTGAAAATGGCTGAAGGCGAGATAATATTATTGCTAGTACGACGGCGACAGGGTCAACAATTGTTAAGTTTTATGCTTGAGTCAGTTTGATACTTGTGAAATATCAATGATGTTTTCTATAAACATGATAAAGTTGCATGACAGATCAGTAAATCATGTACATATCAGTTGGACGACTTTTTCGAGGACCTGCCACCTAAGTTATGTGTCCAGTGACTGCATTAATAAGCAATTTTCAATATTAAGTTTTCTGCTCGAGTCAGATGATATTTTCTATAAAGTTGCATTACTATCAGTACAAATGAGTTTGACAACTATTTCGAGGCCCTGCCCCCTAAGTTATGGGTCCAGTGACTACATAAATTAGCAATTTTCAATGAACATGAAGTTTTCTGCTTAAGTCCATTTGATAGGAACTACTTGTGATAGATCATTTATATTTTGTATAAAGTCGATTACTATCAGTACATATCAGTTCGACAACTATTTCGATGTCCTAGCTCTTAATACTATACCTGTATTTATCACGTTTGATATAAAGTTGCATTTATCCTCTGTACATGTTGTTTCTGCCCTATGCTTCATAAACAGATGTATTTTCCGGACATCTCTAGGAAAATTAATTCTTGTGCGACGCCTCAATGAACACCAAATGTTGGTTTCCCATTTACATGACTTACATATAATGAAGGGAAAAACATTGAGGATTAGGCGATCTTTTGTACTAGATTTGTGTACATACACACTTTTCCTGGTCATAAAATTGAAATAAGGAGTATTAGTACATGTAATTACTGTAAAAACAAGTCATAATTAAATGAAATAGTCTTTACTATCAGTATCAAGGTTTATAGCTGAAATTTAAAGCTTTCAAAATGAAGAAAAAAATTGAGATACATTTGTACATGTATACCACTTATTTGATGTTCTTTTCAAGCACTTGCTTGAAGAAATAATGTGGAACAAATTATTTAAAATCAAACATGTACACAAATTTCAAGTATTCTGCCTCTGTTCGGAGTTTTATCGCTGTTAAGTTAACATTTGGTATTAGACCATGTTTCCTCTTTAAACAAAAGTAAAGTTTCTATTAAAATGTACTAGTAATTGTTTAATAAAAAGTGAGGATGTACACTCAGTTAAGAATTACTAATGAGTAGTCGTTAGTTTTAGATAGTGATACACAAGTCTTCGCTTGGAAAAATATCTTCAAAATGGGTAAAACAATAATATGCATATTATGCTTTGTAGGTAGTTGCCTGATTGACGTTAAACCCTCTACATCTAGTTAATTAAAGCTCCAGGCATGATCTCCCATAATTAATAGCTCACTACATGTATCAATTAACTAAACAATAATTTAATCAATGATTAAATAAACACCTTTTGGATATAAATAATGGTAAAGTCTAACCAGAACACACAACATTTACATTTTATAATAGTAAAGAAAACACATTTACAAAGGTGTATTATAGTAAGAAGTTACTGATATAATGCCTAATTGTCAGTTATAACATTATACTGTTCATTCTTCGAGACAATATTTTACTCTATTCATGCTATTATGATGCAACGTGTTTGTGAAGTATTTCAAAACGGAAAATTTCAGAAGCATTTTAAATGACATTTCACACAAACATACGAAACAGTTTTTAAACTATGATTATTTAGTGATTTCTATTGAATTCTCGGAGGGGGGTTCTCGAAAAAACAACTTATTGAAAGAAGGGGACAATGTTCTAACATGACACCGATTGATCAAGTATCATTTTGGTATTCCATACTCTGTACTACCAAGCGATTCTTGAGTACTTGAAAATTCAATAACATCCCTAATAAAAAGTATAGCACATATGTAAGCTAGTCAGTTGGTGTTCAAAACTTCAAACAATTTACGGAACTTTGATCAATGTATGAGCTACTGTTTATAGTTCACAGGAACGCTATTAAAGGTAAGAAAAGTTGAGACCAAATTTATTACCATTGACCCCCAAATGGTTGATTACCTTGATTAGCTTAAATGCGTTACGATACAAAGTCTAAAGTGGTTAAGAACAAGGAAAATAATGTCTGGCTGCCTCAGAATGTTTTTTGGAAGCACTGTCCTGGCCCCTTAAAAGTGTTTCAGCTACTTTAGACTATGATTTATTTTTAAAAGTTGTTCTAGCATGTCAAGTGTCAAACTTGTTTTTTTGTAATTTTTATGCCCCCGCCATAGCGGAGGGGGCATTAAGTGTTACCAATGTCCGTCTGTCCCGTCTGTCCATCCTGAACATCCCCAAAATTGATTTCCGTTCTCTTACTTTAGTTTGCCTCAACCAAATATTATAAAACTTATACACAATATATATTATCAAAAAATACAGATCAAGTTAGAAATTGGGTGGCGTCACTTTTAGCGTTCATGAGTTATGCCCCTTTATGAACATAAAAATTGCTGATTTTTTTGTTTCCTTCATCTTACTTTAGTTTGCCCCAACCAAATATTATAAAACTTGTACACAATTCATATTACCACAAAACACAGATCAAGTTCTAAATTTGGTAGCATCACTTTTACCGTTCATGAGTTATGCCCCTTTATCAGGGTTTACGCTAGGATTTTGAGGGCTTTAGTCACTTTTGCGCGAGATGAAAATCAACATTATTTTGGGTAACAGCGAGGGACCAAGGATGTATGTATATTACTAGCTATACATCTTTGTCAGACTTTGAAGGACTAAGGCATCAATTTACTAGGCAGTTGGGTTCCTTTTTTTTAGCTCACCGGGGCCCAAAGGGCCCCATGTGAGCTTATGCCATCACTTGGCATCCTCTGTCGTTGTCGTCTATCGTCGTAAACTATTTAAAAAATCTTCTCTTCTGAAACTACTGGGCCAAATACCTTCAAACTTTAACTAAATGTTCCTTAGGGAATCTAGTTTATAAATTGTATCCGAAGTTTTGATCCATCGACAAACATGGCCGCCAAGGCTAAAAATAGAACATAGGGGTCAAATGCAGTTTTTTGCTTATATCTCAAAAACTAAAGCTTTTAGAGCAAATCTGACATGGTAGTAAATTGTTCAAATGGTCAAGATCTATCAGCCCTGAAATTTTTAGACGAATCGAACTACTAATTGTTGGGTTGCTGCCACTAAATTGGTAGTTTTAAGGAAATTTTGCATTTTTTTATTATTATCTGGAATATTATTATAGATAGATACAAACTGTAAACAGCAATAATGTTCAGCAAAGTAAGATCTACAGAAAAGTTAAATGACCAAATTTGTCAATTGACCCCTTAAGGAGTTATTGCCCTTTAAAGACAATTTTACGCAATGTGTTCATCAAGTTTGCTAACATTTAAAAATCTTCTCTTCTGAAACTATTGTGCCTAATACTTCTTAACTTTGAATGAATGTTCCTTTAGGAATCTAGTTTATGAATTG